TAATGAAGGGAGGGCGTGGGAGAGTGGCGGTGAGGTGTGGGAAGCTGTAATCCCCAGGATACTTTGGGCTCGCCTTCCCATCAACCGGAGGCGAGGAGTGGTGGTCATGGTTACTTATGCCCCCACCGGAGAGGAACATCCGTGGTGGGATGCAGGCAAAGCCGATGAGTCAGACGCTTTCTATGACCTCCTGTCACAGGTGCTGGCTAAAGTGGCCACTCGGGACAGAGTCATCTTGTTGGGTGACTTCAATGCCCGAGTTGGTCATGATGCTGGCACCTGGTCTGGAGTGATTGGAAGGCATGGGCCAGATCAGCACAATAACAACGATAGGAGGCTGCTAGATTTTTGTGCAGCCCATGGGCTTGTAATTACCAACATGCTCCTCCGGCATCGGCGCATCCACACAACATCATGGATGCATACCGGGTCCAAGCAAGAACATCTGCTGGACTACATAGTGATGGACCAGCGGATGCGAGCCCATGTCCTTGACACCAGGACCTACCGTGGAGCTGATCTGCCCTCTGACCATCAACTAGTCATCTGTAAGATGCGCCTGCCATTCTTCCACTCCGGTAGTGGGTGTACACCCAGGACCCCATTCCAACCTAAAGTGGCCTGGTCTCAGTTAGCTGATGAAAGTTGCAAGCGAGAATTTCATCATCGCTTGCAGCTGGGGTTGCCATCGTCCCCCACTCCACCTGATGTCGAGGGTAAATGGGTGAGGTTTAAGACTGTGACTCATGCAGCTACAATGGCTGCTTTGGGTACGCGGTCCAGACCTCCCCAGAAACCCTGGCTGACAGAGGAGGTGTTCAGGATAGTTGAGAAAAAGCGACAGGCCCACTCTCATCGATTACAGCATCCCACGTCAGAGAATGAGGAGGCTTACCGCAGCCTTCGCTCGGAGCTTCGGAGAGCCGTAAGGCGCTGCAAGGATGGGTGGTGGTCGCGGGTTGCTGAGGAGATGGAGTCTGCCTCAGTGGCCCGCGATGACAAATCACTATTTAACTCCATCAAAAAAGTAACCTGCAGCGCCACACCTATTACCATCATTAGGGGAAAAAACGGTGATCTCCGACCCCCAGAAACAGGTTTGCAGATTTGCTGAGCATTTCTGTGAGGTCCTGGGGGAGGGGAAATCCCTCAGCCAGGAAAACATCATGGCACAAAGTGGGGATAACCCTGCTGAGGTTGTGGTGCCTCAAATATTGTAAGTCACCCCCTGTGAGTGGCTGGCTGAGGTGCCATCTGTTGAGGAAGTACTGAAGGCGATCCTGAGTCTGAGACCAGGCAAAGGCACCGGGCAGAGATGATCTCCCAAGATAATTGCTGAGGGAGGGTGGCGTTTGTGCACAGACTGCCCGATATGACATCATAACAACAGTCTGGACCACTGGACGGGTTCCGCAGGATTGGAAGGATGTTCTGGTGGTCCCCCTCTTTAAGAAGGGGGACCGCACAGACTGTAACAACTACAGGGGCATCTCACTCTTCAGTGTGCCGGGAAAGGTCCTGGCAAGGATTATTCAACATCGCCTTGCTAGGCACGCTGAGGAGAGGCTTGCGGAGCCCCAATGCGGTTTCAGGAAAGGGCGGTCCTGCACAGATGCCATATTTTCTGTCTGTCTGCTACAGCAGAGGTGTAGGGAATTCCACCAAGACCTACATCTCTGCTTTATTGACCTGGTCAAGGCCTATGATACCATCAGTAGGCCTGGGCTCTGGGTTGTTCTTCGTGCTTTCGGAGTCCCTGACCCTCTGCTCATGATCATTAAGGACCTTCATGATGGTGAGCGGGCTCGGGTAAAACTACATGGCCGGGAGTCAGAGCCTTTTTCTGTACACCTTGGGGTGCGACAGGGATGTCCTCTGGCTTCCACATCATTTAACATCTATTTTGACAACGTAGTTCGTGAAGCCTTCAATAGCTGTACTGGGGGAATCTCCATTTGGTACAGATATAATGGGAGGCTGATCGATGCCCGGGTGCGATCAAGGGATGGCTCCCTATTGGTCAACCACGTTATGTATGCCGATGATTTGGTAATAGCTGCTCATTCAAAGGAGGAGTTGGAGATGCTGCTGCTGAGACTTGGTGCGTGCCACTAAGATGTGGGGCCTTACCATCAGCCCCACCAAAACTAAGCACCTGCCTGGGTATTTTGTGCCATAAGACACTCCACCCCCACAATTCCCAATCGGTGATGGGGCAGTAGTGGAGAGAGTGGAGAGTTTCCCATACCTGGGCAGTGTGCTTATGACCGGCTCCAGTTTAACAGCAGAGGTCTCACTCCGAATCAGTCGAGCGGCAATATCTTTTCATCGGTTGCGTAACGCTGTGTGGAAGCTACCTGGTCTGTCGCTCCACACGAAGCTTCAGGTCTTCTCGGCCACAGTCATTCCCTCCTTTCTCTACGCTTGCGAAACGTGGACCCCCCTAATGGAGCATCTTCGCAGGTTGGAAACATTTAGGCTGGCCTGCCTACGATCCATCCTGGGTTTAACCAGGCTGGATTGTGTGAGGAAGTCACAAATCCTTAAAAGATCTGGGCAAAGTCCCATCGGTGAGCTCTTCCAGCAGGCAAGGCTGCGTTGGCTGGGTCATGTAGCCCGCATGCCAAGCCACCGCATGCCTAAACAGCTTTTGTTCGGCCGGATTGAGGGGGCTAAACGGGCGCGGCACGGGCTAGAGAAGAGATGGAGTGATGTGGTACAGGAGGACGTGGAGCTGAGTGGACTTGCCGATGACTGGTACCAGCAGTGTCAAGATCGGCCTCTGTGGAGGAGGCTCGTGAAGGACGCTACTGTGCAGTTGGAGGCAGTCGCCCTCCAACAACAACGGAGGGCGGAGGAGCGATGCTCACAACAACGAGCGGAGCGCCGGGTGGCTAAAGCACAGCAAGTTGGCACAGTAGGGGGCACAGGTGGTGCATCAGCCAGTCATCTCGGTCATCTCAGTCAGTCGACCCGTGGCACCTGGGTCTGCCCCGTGACCTCCTGCCAGCGGGCGTTCGACACTTCACATGGCACATGGCCTGGCACAAGCATCGTGGTGACGTCACCGCCACTTAGTGGCGAATGGCGGTTGTTGTTGTTGTTGAGTCAATATGTGTGTGTGTGTAAGTCGGTGTGTGCGTGTGTATAAGTCGATATGTTTGCGTGTGTGGGTCGATGTCTGTGTGTGTGTAAGTCGACGTGTGTGTGTGTCTATTTCGCCCGGGCAAGGCCAGTTACTTCCCACTAGTATGTTATAAAGGGGCCCTAAATAAAAAAAACGCAAATATTCAAACACTAATTTTTTACTTGCATAGTAAAGTCATTGTATTTTTTCATTTGCTAGGCAGTCAGATAATGTAACAGATCGCTAGTACTATAGTAATAGAGTAAGTGCAGAATCACTGAACCGGAATTGATAGCTTGAAAGCATTTAGCGTGGGGCCCTTGAAAGTGTGGGGCCCGTAGCTACTACACATGTAGCTACTTTTGCTACGAAGATAATCTGCCACTGCCTGTTCCCCGCATCCCACCTGACACACAGAGCACACAGACCACCCTCCCCCACCAACCTCTCCTACCCTCCGATGGCCTTGGACTCGTTGCCATGGGGAACACAGACATTATGATCCAGGCTGGGCTGTGTTCACGGCTTGCACTGGAGGAGTCTGGGCCATAACAAGATTACAGCCCCAAAACAAACAGCTCTTTAAATTGTAAATCGTGCACCCAGGCTGCACGGCCCCGAGTGTGCAACGTGGGGATCGAAGCCTCCGCTCACGATGGGAAAAACTCGACCTGGCGGCAGTGAGCCATCTCCCGAGCACGCTACCCAGTGACCATACGAACGTCGGGCCAATGTCGGGCCAACGTTGGCATGTTCACTGGGTTAGTCACCTCGCTGTGGCTTGATGGAACAGGTGGGAGTGCCGTGATGTTACTAAAGAACCCGAAGGAAGCACTCGTCCGTAACTTTAAAGGTGTTTTTATTTTTTTCTGTCTCCTGCTGCTTATAAATAAAGCCACAGACGTGTCGTCTTTAAAGTGTGCACACTGCCACAACATGCTCTGGAGCGCTCCCGCTCCCGTTACAGCTCAGACGCTATAAGTAGGCCGGAGCCTGGATTGTGTTTCAAGATCAGCGACTGCCATCCACAAACACGACGGCTGTCTGCAGGACTCGAGGCCTATGATGTGACGACACGCAGTAAACTGCGAATGTTGGGCCAACATTCGCATGCGGTTTGGCACCGTTTGGACCAACCTTGACCCAACGTTGGCCTCATTTTCCACGTTTACTCGGTAGGCGGTTAAAAAATTGCATTGTTGTACTCTACTTATGAGTGTCCACACTATGCTCTCCGCCTTCAGTGGGGAGCGGTAGTGAAGCGGCTAGCGCGCCCCGCTACGAACCCGGCGTGTTTACCAGGCTGCAGCCTGCTGAAAGTTCAAACGAGTCCAGATATTTGCTGCTTAAATAAATGCTGCTGCTGGGGAAAAGATTGGCGGCTCACAGGTCGACGGAGTTTCCATGCGGCGAGAGAAATCCTTGCCTGTGAATGTAAATCCTTGCCTGTGAATGTACGTATTTGCTGGGAGGAAACACCTCCCCCCTTCGCTGCGTCACCTTCAGGGTCGTTTGTCTATACTTCACCACACTCGTCAGTGTGGGTTGGTGAAAGGGGGGAGGGGGCCCATTTATGTTTAATGTAATCAGACATCACTCGCCACTGATGTTAGCCACGGCTTAGAAAATGAACTTTGGCTCCCGGGTCTCAAAGTGCAGCGTGACGACAACAACAACTGCACAGATGCTCCACCCCGACCTGCACAACCAACCGCCTTTGTGCTGCGCCGCAGGGAATCACGGCTCCGACTGCAAGAACGCAGGCGGTTTGCAGCCCCCTCTAGGAGAGGCGCGCACGGGGGGGGGGTCACGTCCCGGTTCCTGTTGGACACGCGTCCCTGTTCCGGATGACGCTGCCGTCACTGCGACTCACCTGTTGCTGGGCATCCCCTCGCAGACGAGCATGTTGCTCACGGACTCGAGCACCCTGCCTGCCGCCCCGCACACCTGCACGCTCACGCACACAGACAAAGATCCCCCGTGTAGCCTGAACAGACCGCTAGGGCTGTTAGCGAGCACCTGTGAAGGCCGGCACGGCACGCGAGGTGGGTGGCTGGCCAGCACCTCGCCCGGCCACCTTTGTGTGCACAAGCCCAGGACTCCCAGAGATGACACCAAGACCAACATCACGACCACCAAGGCCAGAGGGCCCCTAGACAAGGCCCTTGCCACTGAAGATAAGTGGAGGCAGAGATATGATGAATCTAAATCATTCAACTTCACGTACTGAGGGACTGTATTGCACTTTACATTGAATTGGAATGACGAGTTAATGTCATGAATATCGCTCAACAACGGACCATGGCCTTGTGAAGCAAGTGACACGAACCCATTCTGGAGAGCTTCAATCTGAGTATTGGATGCTTGTGGCCAAACTAATGGCCTCAATTTTCCGAGTTCACCCAGGAAAGCCTCACAGAGTTCTCAAGACTCTTCTTCAGCAGGGCCCTGCCAAGCCTTCACACGGCAGGGTGGCGACGATTTGCTGTGCAAAACTCAAGTGAGGAGTCTTTGCGGTGTAATTCTCCGATTTTATTTCTTGCAAACTTGGACCCTAACTAAGGCCAGGACACACAATGGGCGACTCTCATGAAGGACGTCACAGCATCTTTACCATCCACCGTAACGTAGTCGGTGCGTAGTAAGTAAGACGGTCGCTTGTGTTGCGATCGAAACGTCGCGATCTATTATTTTTTCTACCTACGTGACGACTTTACCGAAAGAACAAAAGAGTATGGATTCCTGCAGTCATGAACGCTTCAAATGAAGATGAAGTTGATCAGGGTTGTGACACACCGCAGTAATAACCAAAACGGTGAAGCTCTGCAGCGAGCGGTGAACACGCTACCGCCACCAGATTAACCAAACTTCGGCTGCCTGCAACATCCAGGTGTGACTCGCCATCTCTGTCACAAGCCCCCTTACACTGCACGCCCCATGTCCATCTAGCAAGGGATCGAGGCAGTGCGAGATCGATGACGAAGCAACTCACGGCTGACTCAATGTGGACCCTATGCTGAGTCAGCCCTCTGGAATGCGGGACTCAAGTTATTCAAATTCCATCGTCAACAGCGGATTGTTTAACTGACGTGGCGATAACGATCATGTAAAGGAGATAAATTGGTCGACAATTGTATCTTTCATATCTCCGTCTTTGTTCACGTAAAAAAAAGGTTTTTTTTTACCACAACCCATCAGCCGCACGACTTTCCAGTGCATAATTTCAGCATCATTGATTCAAGACAAGCAGCCACTCTGAACCGTTTTCGACATTCAGTGTTTTCGTCAAGTTGGGCTTGCTTGAAACAATCCTCAAGAGCCAATCTTGCAGGCGAGGGCCCTCTCTCTACCCCGATGGGGGGGGGGGGGTCCTAATTAAACATACAACTTGTATTGTGCAAGTACCCGAAAATAATCATTAACATCCTCCTGCTGATGAGACACTGCGTGTCGAAACCGCTCCACAGTTTGCTTGTACTTGAAAACAATGCTGCTGAAATTGTTTTACCCCAGAAGGGGCCGTGTGGCTGATGGGATGGGTACAATTTGTTTTGTGGATGGCCCGGTGAAGGAGGCGTTGTCTACAGTGGCTAGGAGACGTTAACTACCTCGCCTGGTACGCAGGAGGTCGTGGTTCCGATCCCGATTTTGACGCCTGCTGCTGCTGTATATTTGGAGTTTGCGTGTCTCTCTCTCTCATGATCATCACAGTGGCTAGGATATGTTAACTACCTCGCCTGGTACGCAGGAGGTCGTGGTTCCGATCCCGACCCTGACGCCTGCTGCTGTATATTTGGAGTTTGCGTGTCTCTCTCTCTCATCATCATCACGGTGGCTAGAAGATGTTAACTACCTCGCCTGGTACACAGGAAGTCGTGGTTCCGATCCCGATCCTGACACCTGCTGCTGCTGTATATTTGGAGTTTGCGTGTCTCTCATGATCATCACGGTGACTAGGAGATGTTAACTACCTCGCCTGGTACACAGGAGGTCGTGGTTCCGATCCCGATCCTGACGCCTGCTGCTGTATATTTGGAGTTTGCATGTCTCTCTCTCTCATGATTATCACCGTGACTAAGAGATGTTAACTACCTCGCCTGGTATACAGGTCGTGCTTCCGATCCCGATCCTGACGCCTGCTGCTGTATATTTGGAGTTTGCGTGTCTCTCTCCCCGTGGTCGCGTGGATTTTTCTCCGGCTCCTCCGGCTTCCCCTCCACGTGTAGAATCAACATCACGCATTTGGAGTAATTTGGCTGCTGCGATACATTTCCACCTGATAAGGAGAAGCCACCTCGTTGAGCTGTCATTTGTGATCGCCAGGTCCGCTTCTAGAAAAGAGCTGTATAGCTCAGTGGGCCTTACCTGGTAAAAACAAATTTAGTTTTTATCTATAAATCATCTCTCCTCGTGTTGCGAGGATATAACGTTGGCTCTGTGCCAGAAGCTTAAGATGACAGCAGCGGTGGCGCCACTGTGCGTGTGCCCTCCCTGTGCCCTCCCTGTGCCCCCCCCCCCAGCCAGGCTCCGTGGTGCCATCACCACCACCCTGTGTTGGGTGGAGCGGTGGCGGATTTGGCCGTGGGGCAAGATTTGCCGGTGGGCCGGTGGCAACTGTTTTGAGCCAAAACTGTAGTCGTACCGTGACACACGCGGAGATAGACAACGGTACACAGACCAAGATCCCCCGCATAGCCTAAACAGACTCTTGGGGTAAGTGCTGTTATCGAGCACCTATGAAGGCCGGCACGGCACACGAAGGGTGCGTGGCCAGCACCACGCACGGCCGCCTTTGTCTCCCTAGTGGCGATGTTTACACACCGCACCAGGTACTCATTTGAGGCTGAGTCGACCTAGAGGAGGCCCAGGACCAGTTCAAATAATCGTCACTGGTGTTGGTGGCCGCGAGTGGGCATCGACCTCGGGTCGCCGGGTTCGTAGCGCGACGGCGCTAACCGCTGCGCCACCGCTCCCCACACCCACACACGTGGAGGTGTGATGACAATGAACGCCCGGCTCACGGCTGACTCAACGTGAGCTCCACGCGTGGCAGAGAGCAGCAGCAACCCCTCTGGAATGCAGGGAACTCGTGACTCGAATTCCTTCGCGCAACACAAAGCCGTCTTAGGCAACAGCCGGTGTTGTTCCCCGGTGTGTGACGACTGTTATGGCGTGGATCAGCAGGCGATCGTGCTGGGTCCGCTCTGGTCACTGCACAAGGAGCCATGCATTTCGAATTTAATTTGTGATGAAGACAGACAGCCTGGAAAGTCACTGAATGACTGCACGTGTGTCCGGGAGACACACGTGCAGTCATTAATGTGGACAGCGCTCCGAGCCATTCACGAGGCGCCTCTTGGCGCGGCGAGGCGGTGACATCACCAGCACTTAAGTGGCTTTGCCACCTTCGGGATGACAAAGAAGATTGTGACACACCCAGTGGTGGAACTGGGCCGGAATCCCCTGGAAAGCCGTGGTGTAGAGTGACAATTTGCACCTCGTGACTGCGTTCCGGGAAAAATCAAGGATTCATCTTTTTTCATTTATTTGATTCGCAGATAGACCGCTAGACAAACAGAGAGACCCCCACACGGAGCGAAGCTCCTCCTCTTCCTCAGATCTAGTGTACGGTCCAAATCGAGCGGGGGTGGCGGAAATCATGAATGAGTTCCCGCAGTAATTTATTCCCATTTCCAGCCCCGAAGATACCCTGGGGAGGTGGATATCTCACGACACTAGAATAGGGGAGAACTGCCTGTCAGCGCGTTGTTTTGAGGGGTGGATTAGTATGCTACTGGCATTAAATGGAACTTTTAGTGACCCAGAGAAGACCTACAGATGTCCTAGCACAACGACTTAAAAAAAACGAGGATCCTGGGAAAACCAGGACAGGTGGTAAACCCTATCACCACATCCCAGTAGACTGAGGTTTGCTTGGAAAGAAATTATCTTTAAAGGTTCTGTTTTCAAAAACGAATAAATGAATAAATGATCCTGTATAAAACAACGGAACTTCAAGAAACAAAGTCTCCCAGCAGCAGCAATGTGCAGCCACCTAACGCAAACCGCAGACCGGTTGCGACTTATTTGAGTGCCGTCAGCAACGCGTCCCCCACCAAGCGAGTGACACGGGGGTTGCGTCATCGTAGCCAAGAGCTCCGCGTGAGCACCGCTGTGACCCGAGTCACAATCAAGCGGTGACAGGAGAGAGCCCCGAGGAACAGGAGGCGAACCCTGCGGAAAGCCGGTCTCAGCGGCCGCAGCAGGGGACGCAGGCCGTTCCCGTGCGCAAGCCGTCCGCTCCGGGTCCGAGCGTGGCCTAAGGTAGCACAACCGCCAGGTCCCAACTGGATGACCTCTGTTGAACTTCATTCAATTCCCAGCCTGGCCGTGACGGCAGCAGCACGGCGGGGGATGGTTTGCGATGGCGTGCGTGCGTGTGCGTGCGTGCGTGTACGTTGAACTCCTTTCGCACCACACGTGGCCAACCGTGCCAATCAGAGGTGTGCGGTGGGCACGCGTACCTGTTCCCGAGCGGCCCTCTCCGCCGCCATCGTCAAGTACCGCAGGGATATGCGCGCCTCGCTCTGCAGCAGGGACAGGCGGGAGCACAGCTGCGCAGCACACAAACACACAGACACACAGACACACAAACACACAGACACACAAACACACAGACACACACACATACACACACAAACACACAGACACACAGACACGCAAACACACAGACACACAAACACACAGACACACACACACACATACACACACAAACACACAGACACACAGACACACAAACACACAGACACACAAACGCACAGACACACACACACAGACACACAGACACACAAACACACAGACACGCACACACACAGACACACACACACACACATACACACACAAACACACAGACACACAGACACAAACACACAGACACACGGACACACAGACACACCAACACACAGACACACAGACACACAAACACACAACACACAGACACACAAACACACAGACACACAGACACAACACACAGACACAAACACACAGACACACAAACACACAAACACACACAAACACACAGACACACACAAACACACAGACACACACAGACACACAGACACACAAACACACAGACACACACAAACACACACAGACACACACAAACACACACAAACACACACAAACACACAGACACACACAAACACACAGACACACACAAACACACAAACACACACAAACACACAGACACACACAAACACACAGACACACAAGGACGACGACGACGAGGTTTTAGTTTGAGCGTTAAATCGTAGCCGGCCACCAACACGCTCAGGGGTCGGGGACAGACGCGGAGCGCGCATCGGTGACCGCCGTATGAACAGCCGCCACCACCACGCCACGTGAACAGCGTCCACACGCGACGGCATCGCGAGAGAACGCTTCAGATAGTTTGGATTTTCTCGAGATGGACATGTGATTGAGCCCGTGGCTTCTCTGCGACTCTATGGGTCTCCATGCAATGTACACAGAGACCCATCGGCAGAGGAAAAGAGAGCCTGGACTGGGAACAGACAGGGGCAGGGAGTGTGTGTATGTGTGTAAGTCGGTTAAACTTCTTACGCGCCGTACGTAGCCAACCGTGCTGACGGGAGGTGGACCTCAAGACAACGAGCCCCGTGTACCGTAGACGGCAGGTGGCGGGTGCCGTGTGTGACGAGCATCGCATCTGAGCAGCGATAGCGATAGGATCGGGTTCGCCGCACGTGGACACGTCTCGTGACTGAGAGGCTGGGAGGTTAGGCCCAGGATAAGTGTCGGCTTATATGTGGTATCGCAAAATCGTGAAAGATGGCAATGCCTCGGGCAAGCCTTCATCCAGCAGCGGGTAAATCATGCCTGCTGCTGCTGCTGATGTTGATAATAAAGTATGAAACTCTATGCCATCACGCGCGTGCAAACACACACGCGCACCTGGACAACAGCAACACCCGCGTCACCACGGGACCTTTAGCATTGGTCTGGGCTGATTGACACAGAACCAGGTGAACTCCGGGCGGTGCCACCTCCATCCAGTGGGTTAATGATTAACCGAAGAGTCAATTGGCTGTCTTACAGGCAGATAGCGAAATAAATAAGTCGCCATTTCACCTTCTTTGCGTATTTGTCTCTCAACGTGAAATGTTATGATTTGTTTTTTTACACATCCCATTGACTGCGCGGCCTCCTGAGAGCGAATCTTTCAGCAGCGAAGTGAGGCTCACTTGATGTGGCTAGGAGATGTTGACTACCTCGCCTGGTATACAGGAGGTCGTGGGTTCGATCCCGACACTGACGCCTGCTGTATATTTGGAGTTAGCGTGTCTCTCTCTCATCATCATCACGGTGGCTAGGAGATGTTGACTACCTCGCCTGGTATACAGGAGGTCGTGGGTTCGATACCGACCTTGACGCCTGCTGCTGTATATTTGGAGTTTGTGTGTTCTCCCCGTGGGTACGTGGAATTTTCTCCGGGTCCTCCAGTTTATCCATCTACATTTAGAATCGACATGCATTTAGAGTGTTTGGCTGCGATACATTTCCACATGATAAGCCACTTCGTTGAGCTATCGTTTGTGATAGCCAGTTCACTCCTAAAAAATAGCTATATAGCTCAGTGAGCCTTACCTCGTAAAATAAACATACTTTAGTTTTTATAGGGACAGAGATTGGTTGTCAAACACATTGCCATCTAGCTAGAACAGCTTACAAACATGGGATTGGCAATGATGGAAATTCTCATCAACAGACACAAATCTGAATCCATGATCATCCTCATCCCTGATGTGATCAAAACCAATCTCCACGTGATCTGAGAAGTATGACGGGGGAGGAAGAGGAGGAGGAAGGGGGGTGGGAGAAAGAGGGGGGAGAGCTGGGAGGGGAGAGAGAGCGTGCACGAGAGGATGGGAGCGTGACTCCGATGTGAGCCGCGTCACCTCCGTTACAATGCACACAGAGTGGGCTTTACCGGGTGAAGTAAAAAAAAGACGAATTAGATAGAATAGCTCGGGTTGTCCGTGCCTGGCTCCACCGCACTTCCTTCCAGCACGGTTGGCTCCGTACGGTGCGAAAGAAGTTCAACATACATACACCGCAGTCCCTACTGTGGGCCACGCAATGCATTGTGGGATTTACCATGGGCAAGGATTGGCAACCTGCAGCTCTTTAAGGACCGCTTCTTTGACGTGCACATCATCAGTTGGTCTTCAATTCCGTTCTCGTTCCAGTGACGTACATATTTGTACGGAACCGGAAGAAAAACAAAATAACTTTATCGGTATCGAGGCTCCCACAAGGCCATGCGGGAGGGTGTCTGGCACAGTTTGGCGCTAGCCATCATAGAGTGCGGTCGTGTCGTTACGGTTCTCTGCTGTGAGCACAATGTCTTTAAAAGCAATGTCGCTACTACGCCTCTCTAAATAAAATGAAGGCTGAACCACTCGCGCGTTCCAGCGGTGAACGGGACACCCGTCCTGCAACTTGCAGACGTCTCAGAACGTGAACGGGTTAAATGAAAGAGCAAATGTAACGTGATGTGTATTATAGCGCAGTCATTGGTGTCCAGGCTGAGACAATCTAGTCATTACTTTTGAGAAGCCGGTTTAATCAGAGGCGGCTGGAGTTGAACCCAGGATCTCAGCGTCTCGACCACTGAGTCACCTTACTGCCTGCCGTGGGTATTTTGAAAGATACTGTACAGTACGTGTTACTTGTAAACGCAGACGAACGCAGCCATAAATCATAGCACCGTGGACACATTATTATCGGAGGACAGAGGCCACCAGGTTCAAGGGCAGAGTTAGATACGAACTACTGTGCAGGTGATCTGTAAATCTTCAAATGCAGTGCTGGGAAGAGGTATTTAGTAAAACACAAAATTAGTCTCGAAATTTCTAATTACTCCAGTTGCAATGTATTTTCATGTTTAGTATTTTCAAATTAATGCAATCTTAATAAATAAAAAATAATTATGCTGAACTTCTTTCGCACCGTATGGAGCCAACGGTGCTAATGGTAGCCAACCGTGACCATCGCTGTGGACAAGTTATTATTTTCCATCGCGTGTATACACAGCAAACCCTTCGTTAGTCTCAAGACCATTTCTCAGGAGCGTGCTGCAACATTCTCATTCGAGGGCGTGAAGAGGCCGCGTTGGAATCCCAGCTGAGTAATTAGGGGATGTTTAGGCCAACGCCAGTTGGGTTGTGGGTGTTTGTTTTTTTATGCATCGGAGGCAATTGGAGAACAGAGAGGAAAAAACCAATGCAGAATAGGGGGAGATCATTCATGACCGAGACGCGATTCAAACCCAGGCTGTTGCTGCTGCTGCTGTGAAGCAGTCACGTAACCAGCATGGGGACCCTAACCCTAACCCTAGACAACCACCGTACGACGAAGCTGTCGTGGCTGAATTTTGCGAAGACGGAGGAGCGCCCCGACAGCGTTCAATGTTCGAGACCGTGAGCGTAACGACGGTGTGGATTAGGCAAGACAAGTCCGCGACATATAACAGCCTGGGTGCTACCGTGCGTGACAAGTCAAATATTGGGGGGCCCCACCTGACCGATTGCTGCACACCCCCCGAGCTGATGATGTCGTTACTACGCCACGGCTGTGAAGCCGCAAGTGTTACCGCTGCACCAGCGTGCCGCCACGGATAGCGCAACGAACAGAGACAACGGATCACGGCTGGTGACCAGCGGTGACTCCCGTGGTGGAGAGCCAAGTGACTGCACTCAACAATGGACAATAAGTATTCATTCAGCCTCGGTGTATCATGCAGCAGCAACAACAACAAATCCCATTAGTAGTTCCTGAAGAACTGCATTGTGGTTTCCCCCCTCTTGCCCCGAGGCCACCATCAAAATAAATGTCGGGCCAATGTGACGGACGAGCGGCACGCTAAAACTATTAAACTAAACAATTAAGATTCGTGTCTGTTGATGAGAATTTCCATCAGCGCCAATGACATGTTTGTAAGCTGTTCTCTAGCCAGATGGAAAAGTGCTTGACAACCAATCTCTGTGCCTATAGAAACAAAAAAGAAGCGGGCCTGGGCACAAATGATAGCTCAACGAATTAACTTATCATCACGTGGATTTACAGCAGTAGACAAATACTCTAAACGAGTGATGTCAATTTGAAATGTGGAAGGAAAAATCGGAGGACCCGGAGAAAAATCCATGTGACCACGGGGAGAGAAAGAGACACGCAAACTCCAAATATACAGCAGCAGGCGTCATCAGGGTCGGGATCGAACCCACGACCTCCTGCGTACCAGGCGAGGTCGTTAACATCTCCTAGCCACCACGGTGATGATGAGAGAGACACGCAAACTCCAAATATACAGCAGCAGGCGTCATCAGGGTCGGGATTGAACCCACGACCTCCTGCGTACCAGGCGAGGCAGCTCACATCTCCTAGCCACCTGTGAAGGGATGTCTCCGGCCTTGCTCCCATATCCCTCGCCGTGCTGCTGCTGCGGTGCATTTCACTCGCCTTGTTCTCGGGAGGCGACGGCGGGGGTGGCCGCCGCCCGGCCTCGCCGGACGTCGTCGCGGTGCCCCCCTCTTCCGCGAGCGGGGTGCCCCCCGCCACCGCCACGTCGCAGGCGCTCACCGCCCTCCCGGTGGCAATGCCCGCCGCCGCCGCCCGCTTTTCCTCCCGCTCCTCCAGCCGCTCGAGCTCGCACGCGGTGTGCGGCCGCCTCTGGTCGCCGCCTGCGTGGGGGATGCGTGCGATGGTGTGCGCTCCGCCAGCCGCCCCCCCGGCGGTCGTCTTGGGGCCGCGTGACGCCGCCGCCGCCGCCGCCGCCGAGTTCTCCCGGCGCAGGGAGAGGTTGCGGCTCAGCCGCGGAGGGTGCAGGCGCCCATGAGTCTCTCGGTGAGGGAACGGTCTGCGGAGGAGACAAAGAGATCCCCCCGTGTAGCCGCAGAAGACTTGAGCAGCGACTCGCCCGTGCGGTTCGACCGACAAGGGAGCGCGCATCTCCACGGCCTCTCTCACCTGGTGGTGTCTAGGGATGTGAATTAATTTGAAATCCCAGAGCACAGGTGACCAAAATGGAGACCAGGTCCCACGTGCGTTGGGGCATTGTGCTGATGTCGGTCTCAGAAGTAAGCGGGACAAAGATCCCCCGTGCAGCCTTAACAGACTGTTGGGGCAAGTGCTGTTAGCGAGCAGCGGCTATGAAGGTCGGCACGGCACACGAGGGGGTGGTGGGTGGCCAGCACCACGTCCGGCCGCCTTTGTCTCTAGGTACTCATTTAAGGCCGAGTCAACCCAGGGAAGGCCTAGGACCGGTTCAGATAAAATCTCTCCCACTGATGTTGGCCGTGAGCGGGAATCGAACTCGCGACGCCGGTTTCATAGCGAAGCATGCTCACCGCTACACTACAGCTCCCCAGAAAATGCACACGCAGTGACACACGCAGTCACACAAAAAGTTAAGATTTTAAACTAATTATAATTACAGTATTTGTGTGCGTACCGCACAAACTCCCCTGTGCTGTGCACGTATAGGATTAGAATTTAGGGTTTGGGAATAGGCTTTGGTTGGATGATATATTTTGGGTTGTTGTTTGGGATAGGTTAAGGTATAGCATTGGGGTCAGATTTAGAACTGGGATTAAGGTTTGGTTTGGGGTGTGGATTGGGTTGGTGTTTGGGATAGGGTAAGGGATAGGATTGGAGTTAATTAGTTTTATAACATCAGCGTCCGTTGCCCGCAGCGCGAAGTGGTTCTCGCGTCCGCGCAACGCACCCCGAGTTGAGGCGATGGAGCTAGACGGTGAGACGGTGAGACGGTGAGCTCTACGGTGAGACGGTGAGCTGTACGGTGAGACGGTGGAGCTACACGGTGAGACGGTGGAGCTATACGGTGAGACGGTGGAGCTGTACGGTGAGACGGAGCTACACGGTGAAACGGTGGAGGTAGACGGTGAGACGGTGGAGTTCTACGTTGAGACGGTGGAGCTGTACGGTGAGACGTGTGGATCTACACGGTGAGACGGTGGAGCTATACGGTGAGACGGTGGAGCTGTACGGTGAGACGGAGCTACACGGTGAAACGGTGGAGGTAGACGGTGAGACGGTGGAGTTCTACGTTGAGACGGTGGAGCTGTACGGTGAGACGGTGGAGCTGTACGGTGAGACGGAGCTACACGGTGAGACGGTGGAGGTAGACGGTGAGACGGTGGAGTTCTACGTTGAGACGGTGGAGCTATACGGTGAGACGGTGGAGCTATACGGTGAGATGATGGAGCTATACGTTGAGATGGTGGAGCTGTACGGTGAGACGGTGGAGCTGTACGGTGACAAATCATCGCCACTCTTCCTTCTTCCCTTCCCCTGGCCCCTCTAAATGCCTGCCTCCACTTCAGAGGTCCACGTCTGTTGTACGCGTGGCGAGCGAGTTGACGTTGGGTTTCCGATCTTGCAGCCCCCCCCAGCGCACACGCACGCGTGCATGGCGAGCGGAGCTGGTGCGGCGTGGCGCGTGCTTTCACCCGCCAGCGCCACTGGAACGGTGCACGACTTGAATGCCGTTTTGTGGGTTTTTTCCCCCTTGAGGTTGTGTTCGCTACGCTCTAGAGCAGCGGTGGGGAACCTTTTCTCTGCCAAGGGCCATTTGGATATTTATAACATCGTTCGCGGGCCACACAAAATTATCAATTAGCCTGTTATAGTTGGTTAAACATTTAATTAACTCGCCCCTAATGTGATGGCTGGAACTGCTTCTCTATGGTGAGGCGTGTGATGTTAGATGGTATTGATGATGTTGCTACTCGCAACTGCTTTTCCAGGTTTGCTCCCGAGTCCCGCCTGCGGTTGCCTTGGCAGGGCCACACCAAATGATTCCCCGCACCTTCTACGGCCCGCGGGCCGGACGTTCCCCGCCCCTGCTCTAGAGGGTTGATTCGCCGCTGTCCGTTGTTGTTCCCGAGGCAGGCGCGGACATTCCACGTGCTTGGTGCGGGGACCGAGTCATTCCTCAACACAACCGCCAATGGATGTCCACTGGTAGCGCACCCATCGAGGGTGGCAGAGGGTGCCTTGCCACCGTCCCATCCCCGGTGGTCAAAGCTACAAGTTGGGGCCCCCTTGACAGCTACCATGAAATGTGTTAAACAGCGGTAAAATAACTTAAATTTTAAAAAATGTTTTCATGAAAATTCCCCCGACAGCGTTAAATGTTCGAGACCGTGAGCATAACGACGATGTGATTTGGGCAAGCGGAGGCCGCGATATCTAATAGCCTCTGGGTGCGACCGTGCGAGAAAAATCACAACGTTGGGGCCTTCCTGAGCTGATAGTGTAGTTACTACGCCACTGGTAATGTAGTTACTACACCACTGATGATGTAGTTACTACACCACTGATAATGCAGTTACTACACCACTGATAATGTAGTTACTACACCACTGATAATACAGTTACTACACCACTGATAATGCAGTTACTACACCACTGATAATGTAGTTACTACACCATTGATAATGTAGTTACTACACCACTGATAATGTAGTTACTACACCACTGATAATGTAGTTACTACACCACTGATAATGTAGTTACTACACCACTGATAATGTAGTTACTACACCATTGATAATGTAGTTACTACACCACTGATAATGTAGTTACTACACCACTGATAATGTAGTTACTACACCATTGATAATGTAGTTACTACACCACTGATAATGTAGTTACTACACCACTGATAATGTAGTCACTACACCACTGATAATGTAGTTACTACACCACTGATAATGTAGTTACTACGCCACTGATAATGTAGTTACTACACCACTGATAATGTAGTTACTACACCACTGATAATGTAGTTACTACGCCACTGATAATGTAGTCACTACACCACTGATAATGTAGTCACTACACCACTGATAATGTAGTCACTACACCACTGATAATGTAGTTACTACACCACTGATAATGTAGTTACTACGCCACTGATAATGTAGTTACAACCCCACCACCCCGGCTCTCCCGTGACTCAGTGACAGCCTCCGATCTCTGATGACACCGTCTCTTCCGCTGTCTCTCTCTCTGTCGACTCATCTTGGTCTCCACTCCAACGGAGCGAGTTTCGTCTCTCATCAGCTGTTCTGGGGCACGCGCGCTGCCCGAGTGCCATGCGTGAGTGGCTTTAACGGTAGCAGCAGCAGCAGAATCGGACATCCCTTGTTGTTGTCCGCTTGTCTCAGCCACTCCACCGATCTGTTCATTTAGATTTTAGAAGAATTTCGCCTTCCCGCGAAGTCTAAGTTGATACGGCTTACTATCTGGTGCCTAGTTGTATCGCACCCTGGAGTGATGATGGGTTACGCCAACCCTCACTGATGCCGTTACAGCCTCCTCGTTACTCAGGCGGATCTGCCTGTCGTCCCCCGAGGGCTTAAAAAAATCAGTACCACTTTTTTTCTATCGACGGGCAGCAGCGATGTGTCCTATATACTCTCGATTCGCCAAAGGAATGTGGACTATCCACTGCTCTAAACAGCCAACGGAGAGCGCACTGACGTGCTCACGCATTTTTTAAAATCTAGATTGAAAACTTGTTTCTTTGGAACTGTATTTTTGCGTTTAGTTGGTAGGCCTTCCACCGCACTACATACGGTGCAAAAGAAGTTTAATGTCCATACAAAGATCCCCCGTATAGGCGCAACAGACTTTTGGGGCAAGTGCTGTTAGCGAGCAGCACCTATGAAGGCCAGAACGGAACGCGAGGGGGTGGGTGGGCCAGCACCACGCCCGACCGCTTTTCGTCTCCCTCGTGGCAATGTTCACACACCGCACGGGGTACTCATTTGAGGCTGAGCCGACCTAGGGGAGGCCCAGGACCGGCCCAAATAATCGTCACTGGGTGTTGACCGCGAGCGCGAATCGAACTCGGGCCGCCGGGTTCGTGGCGCAGAAGCGCTAACCGCTGCACCACCGCTCCCCCACCATATAAAAACAGCTTCAGTTTCATGTATTAGGTAGAGCCCTGTGAGCCATTCGGCTCTTGAATCGGGTGCAACCGCAACAAAGGAAAAAACAAAAACATGAACAAGAAAACATCTTAAAGTGACTAAGTGCAAACAGAAAATCCAGTAAAAGACAGCAAAATATTCCAGAAAAAAGCACCGTACACCAACGTTGGGTGCACAAATCCCAGTGGAATGCAAGTCAAACAACAACAACCACAAGACAACTTAGATTAAAGCCATCAGTCTAACTCCGTACTACAACAAACAAACATGGCCAAACCAAAAAAAAAACGTTTTCAAAATCACCAAAATAAAGCCATGAAAGCAATGTAACAGTGATCATAGGAACCGTGGCCGAATCTTCACAATCAACGACACGAGCAACACCACAAAAACCCTGCAGCCAACCAACGACACGCGCAGACACGGCCAGGGGAGAGGGCACCGCAGCGACTACACACCTGCCTTGTCCATCTTCTCGGCCATGCCTGCCCACCGTGTGCTCCCGACTGCGGCTACACGCGCCTCGCAACGCAGCGCGCACAGCCCGGCAGCCCCTCCCCGCACCCCGCGGGGGGGGGCGGGGGGGGCTAAGTCCACCGAGCACCGCTCACCTGGGCTCAGGTGTGGGCGCGAGGCAGCCCCACCCCCCACCCGCGCGAGCCTGCGCTCCCATTGGCTGCACGGTGGAACGCGTTATGTTAATGTAGCCCGCAAGGGGACCGCGATGGTGGAGTGTTCACTGCCTCGCCTGGTCCGCAGGAGGTCGTGGGTTCGATCCTGATCCCTGATCCTGACGCCTGCTGCTGTATGTTTGGAGTTTGTGTGTGCTCCCCGTTGTCGCGTGCATTTTTCTCCGGGTCCTCCACATATTTGGCTACTGTACATTTTGACAACAGCCACTTCGTTGAGCAATCATTTGTGGTGTAGCCAGGTTCGCTTCTGAAAAAGTGGGCCTTGTCTGCTAAAACAATCAATATTTTAACAGATCAACTCCCCTCTCCCGCCGCGCAGGTGCGAGCTTGCCACGGGCGCGAACTCGTCCGTCCCAACTCGCGGGTCAGGAATTAGTGGCGGATCCCGGTCGAAGACCCCAAGACGCCAAGCGGCCAGCAACAAAGAGCACTCACTAAGGGCGCAATAGGTTGAGAGTTAATACGCTCCTTGAATGTAGCAAGGTCACTGCATCGCGCATGCGTTCAACATGCACTTCTGCGGCCGTCTGGAACGCTCTTCTTTCCGATTTGAGGGAGCCACTGAGAGCTTTAAATCATCTCGATTGGAAACTCATTTCTTTAGAACTGCTTCTTGTGTTTAGTTTGTTGCCCTGCGACCGCACCTTCGGTTAGCGCGGTTGGCTACGTATGGTGCAAAAGAAGTTCAACATAGAGGACGTATTTCGATGTAAAGCTTTCGTGACTGCAGGGATTCATCTCCTTGGTTCTTTCGGTAAAGTCACGTAGAATGGAAATAATGGAAAGAATAAAATAATAAAAATAAAACATGTGGCCGAAACGTCGTGAGAATTATTTTATTATGTTTTATTTTTAATATTTTATTATTTCCATTCTAAGAAGATAGAGGACGTAGTGACGTTGTTACAGGAGCTCGTGAAGGGGAGACGACGATGGGAGAGGCGATTCCACGGTGGAGGAGTGCGAGGCAAGAGGCGGAGAGAGCGGCGTTGTCTCCTGCCGTGGCGGTGGCTGAACTCAACGTACAGATACAGGTAGTCCCCGACTAACGATGGTCCGACTGACGGTATTTCGATCTTACGATGGCGATATCGATACGACAAAATTGTAAAATATTTCACATTTCGCGCGGCAGGCAAACGCAGCGGCGCACGAGGTACGATGCTGTTCGTTGGGACGCTGCCGGGATGTTCTGTACGCATCTCCCGCCTTGTGTGGTGATGCCTCTCACTCTCACCAGCGGTCGAATGAGCTAAGTTGCCACGGTGTTGGCGCGTGTATCTTTTTTGTGTTTTTTGTGTTTCAAAGCCCAATTTTAGTGAAAAAAGCATGTATTGCAATTAATAAATACATACAGTATATAGTTTATACAGTACGGTACTGTAAATTGCTCTGTTTTGCTAAAATATCACCATTCTTGAAGACTCCTGGGCAGGCTAGGCCATCTTCGATTTACGATATTTTCGACTTACGATGGGGTCGTCGTAACGCATCTCCATCGTAAGTCGGGGACTACCTGTATACTCTATAGGATTCACATCTCAGATCATGGGACAGACTTGGCAGGATCGTCAAGGGATCCACCAAAAGTGGAAACATGGGTGGGAATCCATGGAATGGATTACCACAGCAAATCGGGGTTTTAGATCTCAAAACGGTGCCAAACCACTGAGAATTAAAAAAGCACAAAACCTGTAACTGGACCTTGTCGTGTTTTTTTAAACACAAGATCAGTGCTTTTCAGTGGGCATTCGTTCTAAAGTGGAAATGCTGCAACAGTACACATGTTCACCACGCTGCAGGTGACAAGGACAAAGATCCCCCTATAGCCTTAACAGACTGTAGAGGCAAGTGTAAACGTTGTGGGTTTACTCTCCGACGCACCGGTGTGCTGTGCTAGTCACGAATTGGCCACGTTTTGTTTACGTGACAAACCTTACGACTAATTGTCTGTGTCCGGGTGCTTGGCGGGCTTAACGACATTTATATTGACGTGCTCTTACCCACAAACCTCTATCATGGGAGTGTTATTAGCGTGATGTTGCGATGTCACGACGTGTTGGTGCGATGTTGGTGTGATGTTGGTGCGATGTTGGTGTGACGTGTTGGTGCGATGTTGGTGCGATGTTGGTGCGATGTTGGTGTTTTATTGGTGTGATGTGTTGGTGTGATGTTTGTGTGATGTGTTGGTGTGATGTGTTGGTGTGATGTTGGTGTGATGTTTGTGTGATGTGTTGGTGTGATGTTGGTGTGATGTGTTGGTGTGATGTTGGTGTGATGTGTTGGTGCGATGTTGGTGTGATGTTGGTGTGATGTGTAGGTGATGTGTAGGTGTGATGTTGGTGTGATGTTGGTGTGATGTGTAGGTGTGATGTTGGTGTGATGTTGGTGTGATGTTGGTGTGATGTGTTGGTGTGATGTGTTGGTGTGATGTGTTGGTGTGATGTTGGTGTGATGTGTTGGTGTGATGTTGGTACGATGTGTTGGTGCGATGTTGGTGTAATGTTGGTGTGATGTTGGTGTGACGTGTTGGTGTGATGTTGGTCCAAAAAGCACAGCTGGGTGGCCGCGATGAGGAAGAATCTTTGGGGCTGCCGAATATGGTGGTGGACGTAATGCCAACTGAGAGCGTCAATAAGCAATGAAGCGTAACACATTAGAGCTAAACAATAAATGTACGTAAAATTAAATATTTTATAAATGATATAAAATTTCACATTCGTTTTATATAAAATATTTTTTTCACCAAAATGTTGTAACCGACAATGTGTTACCCTTCATTCGCTTATTTACGCTCTCAGTTGTTTCATTAAGTCACACACACACATTCTGCAGCCCCAAAGATAAAATAATAAAAACATGTTTTTGTTACTCTGATCACATTTGCAATTCCCCCACACAGCCCGGCCACCCACCGACCCTGGGAACGGACCGGACCACCGGGAATTTGCCCTCTGGCCCAGCCCGCGCCTCAGTGTACGTGGTGTTGGACTTCTTCTGCACCGTACATAGCCAACCGCGATAATCGGAGGCTCCGTGTGGGATTCTGAACGCTGTCTTGAGAGGTAGATCGACAGCAAAGCCAGCCCTGACTCCCCTTCGAGCGGTGCTGACTTCTCAAAGGGATGAGCCGAGTAGGGGGGGTTAACCCCTCACCAGGAGGCAAACCTGTAACCTGCCGACTGAGAGGCTAGGCGATTTGTCTACAGCGATGCCCGGCGGCATCCTGTCACAGCTAACGATGGAATCGTGAGCTGTGACTTTCACAACTTAAACACCGCACTGGAAGGCACTTTTAAAGGGTTCAAAACAACCACGTGGACATTCGACGATGCCCTGTCTAAATATTCCTACGACGGCACAGCCAAATAGTGCAGGACATCCACACACACACACACCAGAAGTGGCATCACGGACCCTTTTAATACCCTCCTGCAGTGCTCTCGCTCTCAGACACACAAACACACCTCGTCCCCAAGGTCAGCAACCAAAACAAGATATTTTTTTCTCTCTCGAATTCGGTAACAAAACAACAAAAATGTCTATATTTTAAGAGCCACAACAAATGTGAATAATCTTGATTTGAAGCTTTCGTGACTGCAGGAATCCATAATCTTTGGTTCTTTCGGTAAAGTCACGCAGGTATAAAACTAAATAAAATAAATCACGACGTTCCGGGCGCAAACAGTCTGCCTCAGCAGCAGACCATGCTTTCCCACCTGATGATGGATGCTTGTGTTGCGGCCGAAACGTCGTGATTTATTTTCTTTAATACCTACGTGACTTTACCGAAAGAACATGTGAATAACTGCACGAATCAGTCCTTGAAGAGCCCCATTCGGCTACGGAGCCGCAGATTGGCGACCCGTGCTCTCTCTCGAGCCGAGCAGACGAGTTAGTTGGATAATTATCTTGCGCCTAACCTCCAAATATTTCCAGCACGCATCCTCAAGAGCCGGCCTCAGTTAAAGTTCAAAGCGAGTTTGAATGTTTTACTTTCGTGGCCAGGTCTGAGATCACAAAACTCGCCGAATATCCGAAAACGTTGAAACTATTTTGTATTTTACCAGCTATGCCAGCTGATTTTTAGAAGCGATCTGCCCACAAATGATAGCTCAACGAAGTGGCTTATCATGTGAACATTTATATCAGCTGCATACTCTAATCGCATGTTTCTAAATGTGGAAGGGAAACCCCGAAGGATCTAGAGAAAAATCCACACGAACACAGGAAGATAAAGACTTGCAAACTCCAAATATGTAACAAGCATCAGAGTCAGAATCGAAGCCACGACCTCCTGTATACCAGGAGAGGGAGTTAACATCTCGCCACCGCGATGCCCCGAATCTGGCTTGACCTGGCAAGAGGCCCTGGGTTCAAACCCAAAATCGCATGCCTCGTTTCCTAACAGACACTGCTTGGGACCCACTACTGCTATCAAGTCGTTGCCTCTGCAAACTCGTTCAATTACATTTTTAAGGAGGGGAAGAGGCTGTGCCTGTCTGTCTGGCCAGAGGGAGGAATGTTGGGCTTTACCGTCGACAAAACGGTGAAATCACCGCTTAGCTCCTTAACTAATGATCTCTCATCCAATTCAACAAAAGGGCCCACTGTGACACGCTGAGTAAGCCGATTAAGCGTGGCTGCACATCAAAACTAAAACCTACGTGCCGCACGAGGGTGCCACTTAATTCGGGGTTGTTATTTTCAAATGCACGCCTCCCGGTTTTATTTCGTTTGCTGTTCAAACCGAAGCCACTGCGAGTTTAGATACAATCCCGGAATGAATCGTCATTGGTTTCTTTCGGGCCGTGGGAAGTTGCCCGCAAAAAAACTGTTGCAGACGATTTCTGTTTGTTGTCACGAAATACCAGATATCGTTTTAACTGCACGGTTGACCGACAAAAAATTGGGTGGTGAAGGTGGACTGGTGTGCTGGCCCAGAAAGGTAAAATGGAGCTCCGATTGCAGGTCGCCCAAGAGTTGCGCAGCAGACAGATGCCCTCCAAGGCAGTGCCGGATTAAGCGAGTGCGGAGCCTGTAGCATATGTTCTAAAGGGGCCCTAAATAAAAAACACAAATATTAAAACACGTATTTTTTTACTTGCATAGTAAAGTAATTGTATTTTTTCATTTGCTATACAGCCAGATAAAACGACAACTCGCTAACCTTATACACCCAGTCGTTCATAAAAGTTTAAGGAAGTATAGTACTATAGCAATACAGCAAGTGCAGCATCATTTAACCAGAATTGATAGCTTGAAAGCATTTTGCGCGGGGCCCTTGAAAGTGCGGGACCCGTAGCTACTACTACACATGTAGCTACTTTTGCAACTAGGATAATCCGGCACTGCTCCAAGACCTGCTCTTCCTGGTGACCTCTACGATGGTGTTGGAACCTCCATCAGAAGCCGCGTCGTGACAGCTGATGGAGCGCAGTGGCCACCAATGTACATCGTTGCCTCAACACCGGAGGCTCTTCGGCCTTTTAGAAACAATCCCATTCAGTCCTCAACAAGGGTTTACGTTGTTCTCTGACAGTGTGTTTCTTCGCTGCGTCTCACATACACACACCTGTATTTCTGGATTGAATTATCACCAGGTGTTTTTTGTTCTTGTTTAAACATTCGAAATGAATCTGGGGCTGAAAGAAAACGTATAACACAAATCCCCGATATTCACTGGGTGCTCCAAGTCATTGGTATAGGGCAGGGGTCAGTAACCAGAAGAACAAGAGGAGCCGTGTTTTTAGAATTCGGTAACAAACTCAATAATTCAAGAGCCGCAATGCAATGTGAATACGAGATGCTGGGTCCTTCATAAAACACATTCCTGCGGAGGGAGCTGGTAGGAACGTTGGGTTGCTCGGTCAATGGCCAGGGTCAACGGCGGCGTGGTGTATTCCGCAAATATGCCCGACTATGAGGGCGGGCACAAGCCGGCGTGAGTAGGTTAAACGTTGAGTTTTATAAGGGCACCACGGGGTGACCATCCCCTCCCCACCCAGCCCACCCCCCACCCAGTCCCACCTTCCCCACTCAGCCCCTCCCCACCCAGCCCCTCCCCACCCTCCCCACGCAGCCCCACCCAGCCCCTACCTGCATGACGGACGGACGGACACAATAATCCCCTGTGGGCTGGTGTAACCAGGAGGTTCCTACCAGTATAACGTCGCCACGAAGCAGCAATCCTTAAAGAGCCACGCGTGTGGCTCCTGAGCCGCAGGCTACCGACCCCTGGGCTACGGTGAGAGAGAGAGAGAGGAGTGGATCAAAGCAACCTGGAAATGTGAATGGATGACAATGCCATTTTGAGGTGACCCTTAGACCAAAACTAGCAAACTGAGAGGCGGGTAGTGATCCCAGAAAACCCGAAACGTCACTTTTCCACGTGCTTATTGAGTGGCACCCGAATGCACACGTTAAACAAAACACGTTTCCCGAGCTTTACAGCCTTAACATAAAAAACACGCACAGATGTATTTACGGAACACATGCCACAGATAAGCGGTGCATCTCAAGATGGCATGAAGAGTATTTGCTTTCGAGAGCTGTAACAAAGCGACACACCCACGGGGTGCATGCAATCCTTCCGTCTCGTGCACAGCGCGATAAAAGCAGCGCCACACTCATCCGGACGGAGCATCTTTGTATGAATGTAGAACTTCCTTCGCACCGTACGTCGCCAACCGTGCTGATCGATAATAGCGGTGGACGTGGATCGGCCGGGTGGACACGCACACCTGTATCGGTGGAAACCGCTCATCCGGAGTAACGCGGAGAAAAGAGGGCGGCCGATTGCCTCGGCAATGCTGCGTCCCAAGGTGAACCCTGAACCTGAAATCCGCGAGCAATAAAACAGCAAAGTCACAAAACAGCTGGAGCCTGAGTCACCGCCCGCCGCGCGCCGCTCATCGCCGCACAGGAAGTGCACGAGTGGAGCTGGTGCATCACCCCCGTTCCTCGTCACACCACGGGCTGCAGGAAGTCACCCGCGTGCACGCGTCGCTCCCTCCCCCTTGCCGAGTGCCAGGGGTTTAATGATCGATGGAAACTTGCGCGCCAGTTCATCCGCGTGCGGCAGCGTGGGATGTTAAGAGCGCACACGGTGGCTCAACGGTCTTGCCGTCACGCAGAACATTTAAAGAAGGAAACAACAATTCGATTTAAGTCACGAGAATTGCATTTTTAGGAATACGTGTAGTTTTAAAAATCGGCAGCTAACGGCGGAAGGATGCGAGGGCATCGCCATCCGCTCCGTGCCTACGAATCGCTGCGTAACATTTACAGTGACGGCCAAAGCGGTCGCGTCGCCCCAATGACACGATCACCAACACCGCCGACGGATGTTAGCTGAAGGCGGTCGCGATGCCACCGTCCTACCACAGAAATTGGACGTCTCCACAAGGCCGCGGGAAGCGATCCGCGATCCGCGAGGGGGAAACCGTTGCTGACGATTTTGTTTTTCGTCACGGAATAAGAGACAACGTTTTGACTGGAGGGTGGATCGCGAGAAAAATGCTCGGCGGTTCAGTGGTTTTGTGCAGGTTCAGAAATATCAGTCGAGGAGCACCCATCCATCAAGAGTTGCACGGCTCACAGATGACCTCTGCCGGGTGACCTCCAAGTTGGTGTTGGAACGTCCATCGGCAGTCGTGGCGGCTGGGTGGGGCGCAGTGGCCACCCATGTCCATCGATGCCTCAGCACCGGAGGTCCCTCCGGCCTTTTAAAAACCATCGCACTTTCAAGTCCGTGTGCCCGGGATTTACAGCATCTGATGACGGACGCTTGTGTTGCGCCCGAAACGTCGTGATCTATTTTATTTTATACCTACGTGACTTTACCGAAAGAACCAGAGTATCCACAAACAAGGGTTCACGTTCTATTCTTTGACGGTGTGTTTCTGCACTGCGTTTCACACACGCACACACACACGCCTGTATTTCTGGATTGAATTATCACCAGGTATTTGTCCCCGTTCCAATTGAATCTGGGGCTGATTATACACCTCCGATTGGCCACGGTTGGCTAACGTACGGCGCGAAAGAAGTTTGACATTCACGTGATTTTTTTTCGTTTATGCTCCATTTTTGTGCTACTCTATCGTCTTTTGCAAATATGCTCGAGCACATCGCGGTACGGTTTACGAACGCAGCTGAGGCAGGCTGTTTTCAAGGTTTGAAATGGGTGTAGCCCAAGGGTCATAAGTGAAGATTGTATGCTGTACTTGTACGAATGCTGTCTCCACATACTCATTTTTTCCGGACTCGTGAGGATTCCCACTCACTGCGAAACATCTTCTAATGTTGGTATTGTTTTTATCGTTAGCTATTTGAAGCTTGGCGCAAGTATCTATTTTCCACAGCTTCTTTAGGAAAGCTATATCTCCACCGAGCGTGTTCCATTCTGCTTGCCACAAATGAACCACAACATCTTGCTGATCTCGTCAAAGAGTGTAAACCATCGTCACGCCAACTCTGGTCATGCTCGCAACAGCACCCTGTGGCTAACCATCGAACAAAGACGGTGGCCACCGCATCGCGCGCTTTCGGATGCACTTCAGCGGCCGTCTGGAAGGTTCTTCCTTCCGATATTAGGAAGCCATTGGAGCTATGCACTTTTAAATCTCGACTGAAAATGTTTTTTTTTCGATTTAAAGCTTTCGTGACTGCAGGGATTCATCTTCTTGGTTCTTTCGGTAAAGTCACGTATAAGGAAGTAATACAATAATAAAAATAAAACATAATAAAATAATTCTCACGACGTTTCGGCTACAACGCAAGCAGCCGTCTTCAGGTGAAGAATGAGACACTACCAAGCTAGGAGCTTATATATAAGCTGGGTTGGAGGTGGAAGAGCACCTTAACAAAAAGAATGTGCATATGAAGAGGAATTTAGCATATTCATGGGAAATGCGTAGGAGGTGGGTGGGGGGGTTTCATAGTCATGCATGGGCATAATATGACTATGAAACCCCCCCACCCATGAATATGCTAAATTCCTCTTCATATGCACATTCTTTTTGTTAAGGCGCTCTTCCACCTCCAACCCAGCTTATATATAAGCTCCTAGCTTGGTAGTGTCTCATTCTTCACCTGAAGACGGCTGCTTGCGTTGTAGCCGAAACGTCGTGAGAATTATTTTATTTTTTTATGTTTTATTTTTATTATTTTATTACTTCCCTTCTACGTGACTTTACCGAAAGAACCAAGAAGATGAAAATGTATTTCTTTAGAACAGCGTTGTGTTTAATTTGCTGTCCTTTCCCCACACTTCCGATTGGCACGGTTGGCTACGTACGGTGCGAAAGAAGTTCAACGTGCAGTACGTTGTTACGTTGTTATAGGAGCTTGTGGAAAGAGACGATGATGGGAGAGAAGATCCCACGGTGGAGGAGTGCGAGAGAAGAGGCCGAAAGAGCGGCGCTGTGACCTGCAGTGCCGGTGGTTCAACTCAGCGTACATACATAAGATTCACATCTCAGATAATGGAACAGACTTGGCAGTGTCGTCAAGAGCTCCACAAAAAATGGGTCAACACCAACAGAGGGTCTCTGCGAGAGACCGGCAGAGCCGTGGAGGTGCCACACGGGAAGCACCAGAGCAAGTGGCCTGGCGAGTGGGCCACAGTCAAGGCCCCTTTCTCGCGCTCGCTCGCCGCGGTCCACTCCGTCCCATCTCTGCCGTCGGTCGCTCTGATCGCAGAGGTCCAACCCCCACAACTGAACGGGTTACGTCTCTCGCTGTGTAAACCGAATTTGCCATCTGCGGCACTCAAATCCGGCAGTAAGACCAGCAGATTTGCACAGGATTGTTGGTTTAAATTCCCCACACAGCTTAGCCCAGTGGTTACCAATATTTGTGCAGCAAAACCATTATTACTTTTAAGATCTAACAGCTTTGTATGTATTATGAACGTTAATTCTAGATTTGAAGCTTTCGTGACTGCAAGGATTCATATTCTTAGGTTTTTTCGGTAAAGTCACGTAGATAAAAATTAAAATTAATAAAAGTAAAATAAAAATCACGTTTCGGAGGCAACACAAGCTTACTTGATACAACAATCGTGCTGTGACGGTTCCACCTGAAGACGGAAGCTTGTGTTGCCTCCGAAACGTCGTGATTTTTATTTTACTTTTATTAATTTGAATTTTTACTTACGTGACTTTACCGAAAAAAACCTAAGAATATTATGAACTTCTTTCACACCGTACGTCACCAACCGTGCTAGACATGTGAATAAGGCTTAGCTATGGCAAGCCCCCAGCCGGGCACAAGGCCAGCAGATTCCCTCAAGGTTCGCGATGGCATTAGCTGGTGGGCGTCTCGGAGGAAGGATTTGAATCAACCGCGACTCGTCGAGGCCTGAAGCCTGTCGTGGGCCTAGCCACACCAGCGGCCGCGTTCCCACGGGCCGGCGATTACAAAGCCTCAAAAAACCACGTGCGCCGCACTCGCGGCATCGACAACTCGCGTGCAAATTCGACACCTTATGTACGTCAACACGCGCATTTGTAAGCGGACATCTCGATAGAGGCGAACATTAGTTTATTGTAAGTACAATTAAAATAAGTTATTTACAAGTTGACGGTTTCAAAAAAACAAAAACCTATTGCCGTTGTGAATTCACAAAAGTTAACAAAAATGTAACGCAGAAACAAACGAGAGACCACGGGCAGATGCACACAGCGCACCAACACTGAGCTACAGTCGGACTAACGCGACACTCATAGAGTTAAATTATTACTTTAAAACATAAAATAATGTACGAATTTGATGGGAATCAAATCATTAAGGAGATGGAGAAGGCTCAAGAAGAAAATAAAATGCAGCCGAAGTTATACTAAAAAATTGTCAAGTGTCTTTCAAAATCCTCTACTTTTTAGGTGAAAATAAAAATAAATTGAATCAAAATCGCGGGTAAAAATCAGCCGAGCCGATGAGTAAAAGGGGAAAGTGCAAGTGGGGCGCCAAGTGACTGGACGATGCGACAACCACGACAACCACGACAACCACGTGTCTCGTCCGTGGCGTGGCGGCCTTGACCGACGAGACGCTGGCAGTGTGTGCTGGGCAGTAGGCACCACCGACATCCCTGGCGCTACGAGGACGAACAGCTGTGACCCCCCCCCCTTCCCACCGGAAGTCTCAAAGCACGTGTGTGGGGGTGGTGTGTGTGAATGCATGTCTATATACCATTTAGAAAAAGTATAAAACAAATTAACTGTAGTGTATCCTGACGGTTGATTATGTTAACGCGAGTCGGTACGCGCACCGGTAGACAGGCACTCCAATGAACCGCTGCGGATATGGGACCCGCATACAGAGGCGCGCGGTGTCCATGCGCACGAGATGGAGCTTCATCATCAGCCCGATTAGGTGCGGCTGCTCCAGACACGCAGACCTACAAGTTTCCACGTGGATCTTTGCGTCGTGGAGTCGGTGTCTTCGCTCTCTCGCGGTCCCTCGCAGTCCGATACAAACCGATTCTTGCCCTCGAGTCCCATGCTCTGGGAGAGAGTCCCTCCGTTCAATGGGCTCACTGTACCGACATTTTAAGTGCAGAGTGATGGAAACCGATTCGATTTAACCAGAGGCTCTTCAAAAACTCAAGGTCCTCCATGTATATGAGAGGGGGAGGAGCCCCCTGCGTGACCCGCTACGCCACAGTAACGTGAAGAGGGGACGGTTTTTCAAAGTTGCGGGCAGTTTCAACAATCGGCGCACAAATCGCCCGCTCTCAAACACCGTCAAGATGGGGGGGGGGTGGAGTCCTTTAATGTCCTCCCCAGCGGACAGCAACAACGCACCGCTGGAGTCACCGCGAACAGCGCCGGCTACCCACGCTCGCCGGCTCACCGCCGAATAGTGCCCACCACCTCCCACCCCACCACCTCCCACCCCACCACCTCCCACCCCACCACCAACGCCGGCTCACCGAGTCGTCGTCACACGGCGGTGCTGCGGCTGCGCCTCTTCAGCCGATCCACGAGGGCCACGTCGTCGGGGTCGTCGTCCCCGTCGTCCCCATCGCACTCCGAGCCGTCGACTTTGGTGCATCGTCCCACGGGCATGACGCCGCCATCGCTAGGGCCACCCCCGCCACCCTCGCCAGCGAGTCCACGGAATGCGCTCGAAGTCTTCTTGCACCGCTTCAGCTCACTGCCACCCTCCACCCCGCAGACGTCGTCCTCAGCGTCGCTCTCGCTGGAGTTCACATTTCTCCAAGTTGCGAAATTTTCACTGCCGTTTCCGGCGTCGTGAACGTAGTTGTCGACATCGTCGTCGTCGTCGTCATCATCAGCTCCAGCGTCTGGTGAACTCTGGCTTGCGAGCTTTGTCATTTTCCTTCTTTCTTCGTCAATTTCATAATCATCGTCGTCATCGTCGTCGTCATCATCGTCGTCGTCGTCGTGGGCGCTGATGTGGATCCGTTCCAGGGCCTGCGCTGTGACACCGAGCGGTCCGCCCCTCAGCCTCTGCACCTGGCACGCGCGCAAAGCCACACGGCGACAAGTGTAAATTGCGGGAGAGCTCCGCCTCTTGCGTCACGTGGTACTCATCGGCTGGCCCGGTGCCGGAGCGCCACGCGGCAGCACGAAGCAGCGCGCGTGTCCGTTGAAGGGACCTGAACCAGCGGTGGAAATTCCACGTTCCTCGTGCAGGTCTAGTCATTTAAGAAAACAACCAGTGTTGACTTCCCTATTAAGTGTTACTCATTTAACGGCCCCCTTAAAGATGATAGGCCCAATCGGCCCACAACCAGAATTTTAACTTATCACATTCTTATTGATAGTCGTGGCTCGTACTATAGAGCCGGATAATTGATCGATGAATCTATAAACGCAGGAACCTGGACTTGATTCAAGTGGTATAGGAGCCTTTCCAGGACCTCCTCTAGGTCAACTCGGCCTTAAAGAAGTGCCCGGTTGGATGTATAAACATCAGGACTTGGCAGACAAAAGTGGCCGGGCATAGAGCTGGCCATATCATGCACACTTGCAGCGTCACCGCGGTGCTCGCTACAGAACTTACCGGCATGATCCCGGAAAATGCAGATGGTACACAGGAGGGCTTTTTCATATGTAGCGAGCAAGGTTTTGCAAATGTGTGTGTGGGCAAGCTTGTGTGCAATTATGGGCACAAACAAATGTGCTTGTACGTGCGCGCGTGGACGAGCAACCGTGCCGTTGTGCATGTGTGCTGCACGCGTACTGCATACTTCCTGCATGTGTGTGCACTGGGGCGTGTGAGCGAGCGCGTGTACGTATGCTCCACGTGCCGAGTGTGTGAATGAGTGCCTGTGAGCGAGCGTCTCATGTGTGTGCATGAGCAGATGGAAGGGAACATTCTTCGTGTACTGTATGTACTGTGTACACTGTATGTGCTGCGTCTGCTGCATGAGTGTACGTGAGCGAGCGTTACTGTATGTTGCACATGTGCTGCACATGTGCCGAGTGCGGTTGGGGGTTGTGGGAGGGGCGGCACCTCTTCCTGCAGCTCTGCGATTTGCTCGGTGAGGTCCCGGATGTGCTGCCGCGTGTCCGTACGCGTCAGCTGACCCGTCAGCTGACCCTCCTCGTGCTGGAAACACAATGCCATCATCAAAATCATGAATACCACCGTCACAAACTTAATACACCAATGTCGTTCATTGAACCAACGGAGAATCGACTGAGGCGCAAAGATAGGGCACCACGGTGGCTAGGAGATGTTAACTACCTCGCCTAGTATACAGGAAGTCGTGGGTACGATCCCAACCCTGACACCTGCTGCTGTATATTTGTCATTTGTGTTCTCCCCGTTGTCGTGTGGATTTTTCTCCGGGTTGTCGGGTTTCCCCCCCCACATTTAGGTTAGGTCGCTTCTGAAAAAAAGCTAGATCAGCTCAGTGGGGCCTTACCTGGTAAACAAATAAAAACATTTAAAATGAAAATTATTTCAAGGATCTATGTTGCAGAGATGACCTGGATGAGCTTAGTTGCATGCACTAGCTCGGAGGACGACATCACAAAGATTTGCATCTTGTAATGTATGTAGAACCTATTTCACACTATACGTAGCTCACCACGCTAAAGCGGAGGTGCGGGGCGGAAAACAACATACTAAACACAAAAAGCACCTCTAAAGAAATGAGTTTTGACACGAGTCAAAATTGTCTGCGGCACAGGACGCCGGTAAGAATGACCGGATATTCACCGACTCCGTGCGCACTTGTAAAGCAGCGAGCGAGGTGTCACGCTGCCATCCACCAGACGCGCCGTTCTCACGAGTCACCACAGAACGCGAGGAGCATGAAGGTGTGCAAGCGTGAAGGTGTGCAAGCGTGAAAGTGTGCAAGCATGAAGGTGTGCAAGCATGACGTGGGTGCTGACGGTGGCGTCGGTGGTGCTGCCGATGGCAAAGTATTGGGCAGGGTGGGCATGGTTGTGGTGATATTAATTTGACCGATTACAGCGGCGATGACTGCGGTGATGGTCGTAAATTGTGGTGGAAATTGCTGAAAATGTTACGACGATTGTTGTGGCCACTTGACTGTAGTGGTTGCGATTGTGGCGACGACAAATATGGTGAGTGATGACTGCGGTGAGAATTGATGACTTTACTATTGTGGTTGCGAATGTGATCGCGATTGTGATGATGATGGTGGTGGTGGTGCCGACTGCGGTCGCTACAATCGTGATGAGGCTTGTGGTGGCTCGGATTGACGTTACGACGACGAGGACGGTGAAGGTGTGGTGGACACCGGCGGTGCCGACCGTGGTGCCAAGCGCATCGCACCTGGATCTCCAGCTCTGCGATTCTCTGCCGGAGCTCGGCCACGGCCGCCAGGTGATCGGCATCGCGGAGTCGCGCCGACATCGCCTGCTCCTTGCTCTGCCGCCGTCGGCACCACAACGGGAGACACAACGATGCTCATCACCGCTCCCAACTCCGCAAGCACTTCCACCGCCGCACACCACCACACTACACTCTTCAGTTGTCGGACGGACGGCACCAAAATGTACTTGCACGCTCGAGTCCGATCTCCTTGCATCTGCCTCAATCCTCACTTTGTCGCTGGCTTCTATCAAATTTGATTGCAACAAAACACCCTTCAGTTGGAAAAAATATAAGATTCCTTGCAAAAGCTTTCTATTTAGTGTTTGAACATCTTAACACCTATATTTTGACACCTGATGATGATTGCTTGTGTTGCAGTCGAAACGTTGTGAGAATTTTTATAGTTTTATATTTGTATTATTTTATTATTTCCCTTCTACGTGACTTTACCGAAAGAACCAAGAATATGAATCCCTGCAGTCACGAAAGCTTTAAATTAAAATCTTAACACCTGTTTAATTGCCAGAAAGGGTAACACCTATTCTTATTTTTTGTATACTTTGATACTGGCAAAAAAGGTCCCACCTTTAAGTTGTATGGCGTTAATAGGGAGATGATGCTGTTTGGGTTACTTGTTAGCTTCACGAGTAATTTTTATGCCGAGCATCTGCTGTGTCTTGTGGAGCGCTTTGAGATCCATGAAAAAAGGCACTTTAGAAATGCAATTATTATTTCCCAGCACCTCCGAATAGCACGGTTAACTGCATGCAGTGCGAAAGAAGTTGACCTTTTTAATCACACGCGGCTGCCCGCATTCAACCACCCACACCACACGTGGCCAGCTCCTACCCCGACCCTCCTCCACTCTGCATTCCAACGGGTTCTCGGCGATGGTAGAGCCGCCTCCCGGGCCCCATTACCTAGCACTCGAGCTCACGCAAAGTATTCCCACCGCCGCTACCTGGCACTGGTGCCCCCGTGCCGCTTCCCACTACCTGGCACTGGTGCCCCCGTGCCGCTTCCCGCTACCTGGCACTCGCGCTCACGCCCCACGTCCCCGCTACCTGGCACTGGTGCCCCCGTGCCGCTTCCCGCTACCTGGCAATCGCACTCACGCCCCACGTCCCCGCTACCTGGCACTCGCGCTCACGTCCCCTTCCCAACCCCGCTACCTGGCACTCGTGCTCGGCCATGCGGCGCTTGGCGGTGGCGGCGGCGGCGTGCAGCTCGCTGTTCTCGCGAGTGAGCGCCGCGACCCGCTGCTGGCACGCGCTCAGCTCCTGCTCGGCTCGCCGCAGCTGCGAGCCCACCAGCTGGCTCTGCACAGACACACGGGGGGGGGGGGGGGGGTCAGCCTGCCTCGCAGACCACGCGGGGAAGCGGCTGGGAGCTGCTCTGCCTCTGCTCGCTCATCCCGCTTTATGTATGTTGCACTTCTTTCGCGCCGCACGTCGACCAACCATGCTAATTTAAATTACTGGGTAATCGTGACTCCCACGATGAAGCGACTCCACCTTCCGTGATATCAGGCTTGGTTTAATAGCCCCCCTGGTTACATTTAGAAAACTATCTGTTCAACATAAGTCTCTGTCCACATGCGTTTCTTGTTCCTTCACTTTACTGAAACATCAACATTTCTTTCTCCAGGTTTTCCCCATCACACCTAAAGCTGTGCATCCAAAACGCCTTTGGGTTCCGTCTTTCTGACACAGCCTTTCTACCAGTCTCGAGATTGCCATCAGCCAGCATATATTTAAGGCTGGTTAAGGCATACGAGGGAGATGGTGTGGTCAATGTCGCACCCAGTGTTGATTTTTTACACACTGCACCAGACACTCATTTAAGGCCTAGTTGACCAAGGAAAGGTCCAGGAACAGAAACAGATACCACTTATAACTGATGGGAATAGGTCTATGTTGGGCAGACTTAATGATAACCACAGCAGCTGTATGAACCACTGTCCAAAGCCTCACCCACTTCCCCTCGATATCAGGCGGGAGGGGAGGAAATTGCCAACCCCAACTGCAAGCGATGACTACATTTCTGACTTGCCACTCTCATCAGCTGTTCGAGACCAGGCTATTGTGGGTTTTAACGGGGTCCTAGATGAATGCCCACCCTCCCAGTAGATCAATGGCATGTGCACGTTGGAGATAATAAGCTGACGGTCAGGGGCCAGATCAACTCCATGACAGGTCCTGGTTTCAAGGACTTGGGCCCGCATACACTGTTCCATCACGAATGTAGTCTAGCAAATGTTCTTGCTTGGACTCTGTGTGCATCAATGAAGTTGTGTGGATGCACCAGTAATGGAATAGCATGCTTGTAATTACAGGAGCACGGGCAGGCAGTAACACAGGCCTAGCAGCCTCTTACCATTATTGTTGAGCTGATCAGGCTTATGCCTTCCAATCACACTCGATCAAATGCTAGCGTCACGATTCACTCGCAGAGACACACATCATCACACAGAGAAATGCACATAAACTCTCTCAAAACAAAAACAAACTCAAACAGACAAACAAAAACACACACACACTCACATACCAACGCACACAGACACACAGATGCACAAATAGACACACGTGGAGACACAAAAAAGACAAATATCGCCTGTATAGCTTCAACAGACTTTTGGGGAAATGCTGTTAACGAGCACCGATGAAGGCTGGAAAGGCACGTGATAATGGTCAGTGGTGTTGGTGGCTATGAGCGGGAATCGAATATGAGTCACCAGGTTCCAAGTGCAGTGCACTAAGCGCGCCACTACCGCTTACCCAGACACACAAAAAGACAAAGATCCCCCATATAGACTGTTGGGGCAAGTGCTGTTAGCGAGCACCTATGAAGGTCGGCATGGGACATGAGGGGTTGGGTGGCCAGCACCACGCCCGGCCGCCTTTGTCTCCCTAGTGGCGATGTTTACACAACGCACCAGGTACTCATTTGATGTCGATTCGACCTCGGGGAGGCCCAGGAACGGTTCAAATAATGCTCATCTGGTGTTAGCCGTGAGCGGGAATCGAACTCGGGTGGCCGGGTTCGAAGCGCAGTGCGCTAACCGCTACACTACCGCTCCCCCAAACCCAGACAGACACGCATGCAGGCAGGCAGACAGACACACACACACACACACCTGTGTCTGTAACTCCAGCACGCGGTGCTTGGTCTCACTGAGCTGTGCGCGGGTCTCCCCCTCGCGAAGCCGCACCGTCATGATCTCCGCCTGCAGCTCGCCCAGCGCACACTTCCCACGCACGGACGTGCGGGACACGTGCCTCTGGCAGCAGCACACAGTTGCATACACACACGCACGCCAATCAGAATACAGCATGAACATATCAACACTAATTGGCGGATAACACCACATATATATAGAGGAACCCAGAGCTTGGGGGGGGGATTTGGTGTCCAACTGCTGCTTTCCGTGCCTCCGATTAGCACGGTGGGGTACGTACGGTGTGAAGTTCAACGTAAAGTACATACATTCCCGCTTGTCTGCGGTTTTTCGCACCCCCCCCCCCCCCCCCTCCCGAGTCGTTCTCTCTTCTCTCTCGGGGTCTCTCGCTCATCGAAAGCTAGCGAATACTGTGTGTGGAGCCGTGTTACAAGTCTAATTTCTATCATCATCATTATTATAGAACCACACGTTAATCAACAATGGAGAGAGTAGTGAACCCCGGTGAGCCGGATTTCACACGTAGCTGGACACGGTCGGGAAACAAAAACACCCCATCTAAAAGGCATAGAAAATGCAAAAAAATTATAAAATAGATACTCTATACTTCGATATATATGTAACATATAATGCATAATGCACGTGTTGTCATGTGCATGATGTGTAACATAAGTAGTTGCCATAATGTGGTAATTTTTTTAAGGCAATACGTCAGTAATGGTAGGGCATTGTGGGGAGGGACGATAGGGGGCGGGTGGACACCGCTACAGTGCTGTACAGCACACATTACGAAAGTACCCTGGTCATTTCGATCTGTACACACAGGCTATGACAAAAGCTCTCCCGTCTAGCCTCCGACAGACTGTTGGGGCAAGTGTTTTTTCGCGAGCACCTATGAAGGCCGGCACGGTACGCGAGGGGGTGGGTGGCCAGCACCACGCCCAGCTGCCTTCATCTTCCCAGTGCTGACATTCAACAAGCAGCAGCAGCTACCCATTTAAGGCCGAGCCGACCTGTATACTAAGACTCGCACACACACCACGCGTACTTCACGACGGTCACTGCATCGCGCGCTTTCAGATGCGCTCCTGCGGACATCTGGAATGCTCTTCCTTCTGAGATTAGAAAGCTACTGGAGCTACTATGCACTTCTAAATTTAGGTTCTAAACTCATTTCTTGAGAAATGCTTTCTGTGTTTAGTTTACCGTCCTTCCCCCGCATCCTTGATTAGCACGGTTGGCTACGTAGAGTGCAAAAGAGACATCCAACATACATACATAACGTGTTACACACATATACGGAACATCAGTACACACAGTGTTTACTTGCACAAACGAGCGAAGTGACGTGTCCCCTCTGATCCCCCTCCTTGCCCCCCCCCTCCTCCCGTTTCCCGTACCCCCTCTCCGGACCCCCGGGGTGCTCACCTGCCAGGCGTCCTCCAGGTCGCGCACCTGCTGATGCAGCTGCTTGAGCGAGGTGAGCGCCTCGGCCTCGCGGATCTTCACGGCGATGAGCTCCTCCTGCAGCCGCGCGACGTTGCTCTCGTCCGGCAGGGAGCTACAGCGCTGGGAGACGGAGAGAGCAGAGCGCGAGACAATGGGCAACGCGAGAGAGACGGGCAACGTGCAAGACGGGCAATGTGGCCGTCTCGCGACTGGCTGCCCCGCCCATGCTGTTGACGCTGCACAAGCTCTCCTCCTCCCAACTCTCATCCCCCACCCACTCACTTTGGAAACCCCTAGAAGCAGTTGCATTTGGAGGCTTGCCCCCCCTCTTTTCTCTCTCCACCTGATGAAGACTGCTTGTGTTGCAATCGAAACGTCGTGGGGTTTTTTTTGCTTTTATTATTTTACATTTATTATTTAAAAAATTTTTGCATTATTTTTATCTTCTATCTACGTGACTTTACCGAAAGAACCAAGAATATGTGTTAATAGCTATGATGTGGTCAGTGCACATATTTTGGCAGTTGAATTTACATGCACGGCTGCATGGGTCACACGGAGACTTGGGGTTTGCAGGTTCCAGTGAAAGCGGCAATGTATCAACGAACCGCAGTTCGATCCAATTGGCGCCAGATTGCGAAGTTGCTTTGTTATCTTCACCGAAAACACAGTTTCTATGTTTCGCAGGGCACAGGGACGTCCGAGAAACTGAAGTGCTCAGCGCGATAACGCACATTGCAAAGAGTTTTACCTCGGAGCTTTGGACAGTAAAGCTCGCAGCAAACCTGCCATGTAAATCGCAGGCGCTGCACGCTGAAAGTCGTGCCAGTGCCTGACCTCACAAAGCCAATCCCCACCTTGAACCCCTCTCCTCCTCCTAAAAGCACAAGGTCGGGGGGTGAGTGGGAGAAGAGGTACGGCAGGACAAACACACACCGCTCACTGGCTCACCTTCTCCATACCAATGACCTTCTCCTGCATTTCGTGCAGTGCAGACTGAGCCTCGGCCTCCTTGAGCCGAGCCATCACGAGCTCCCGCTCGAGCCCAATCACAAACTCTTCCGAGTAGCGGCTGCCCGAGCCCTGCAGGGGGCACGCGGTGCAGTCAACGCAGCCGCGTTCACCGGCGAACAACACCATCCACTGCTGCACACGAAAGCCTCCCCCCAAACCATGTAGCCATCTTTATATATATATATATATAGGTCAGGGCCGGGAGATAACACCAGCCCTGTTATATGCCCTCCAAAGCATGTTCATCACATGTATGGCTCAGTTTTGGCATATTCTGAATTCAGTAACTGGTGACGTTGCTGAGACCAGCGACTCTCTGATGAAACTTCATCACAGCGGGCTGAAACCCAGACGGTAGTCTTGCGTCACCTCGGTACTCCGACAGGGCCCTTACGCGGCCATCGAGTGAGCAGGGCACCCGGCGGTGGCGGTGGTCGTTACCTTCTCAGCGAGCAGCTGCCGGAGGGTGGTGTGCGCTAGAGCCAGCTTGTCGGCCACCGTGGCATTGTGGGCGCGCAGAGAATCCACCTCACGGCGGAACTGCATGTTGTCTTCCGCCTCCTGGGCACGCGTCACCTGACCCTGGGTTGGAGTAGAGAGAGGGGGGAGGGAGGCGAACGGCACTAAGCTGGAAGCAATGTCAGGTTTGCAGGCACAGCGATGTGGGCAGCAGTCATTAAAGAAAGACGGAACCCACAACACAAGTAGATTATGCCGTCGCTGGTTAGCCAAGCTCCACAGCCTGCAGCACCAACATAGCACCCTGTAGTGGCATCAGAATATGAAATAATAATATTTTTTATTCATAGTAATAAGGATGAGGAAATTGGTCCTGCGCACAATATTTCACGGACATGGATGACCACAACTCTTGAGGTACGGAGCCAAGCTCGGTGTCGCCCGAAAGCCAGGTGGTGGGGCCTCTAAGAGGCCAAGGTCTGTGAGCGTCTATAAAAATTCGGGTGGATTGAACTCTGCGGCGAATGTGCAGTGAGACAGATGGCCGCGTTCCAGAAGGGTGGGGGCGGCCATTGATAAATCTATCAGAATATGTATTTATACTCGAGAAATCCGATGAGCTATGAAGCTCTTCTTCATAGATGTCCTCTAAAGCATCAGACTGCTACCCTTTTCAAAACAATAATGACAATGTATAATTTGTGAAAACATCTTTCGTTTAAAATTCATTCCCATTTATGATTGAATGCAGCCGGCACCAGGGTACAATCACACGCACAGCTGGATGTGCCCGTTGGAAAATAGCGATGGACGCTCGCACGTCGCGAACAGACCAGGCTTGCACCTCAAGCACAACCAAATAAACTCAACTAAGCAAGCAAGGCGCCACACCGTGTGTGTGTGTATACGATGGTGAACTTCTTTCGCACCGTACGTAGCCAACCGTGGTAATCGGAGGTGGGGAAAGGACAAACTGAACACAAAAAGCAGTTCCAAAGAAATTAGTTTTCAATTAAAACATTTTTTCAACGTACCTGTATGAGCCTGTCAGCCAGCGCTGCACTCTCCTGGAGCGGGGGGGGTGGGGGGAGGGGGGTCAAACAACAGCCGTGAATTCGGGGGCCGGTCCAAGCAACTCGACACATGGCCTCGCATTCATTCGGAGTTTCATCGCGAATAAAGCCACATTGAAAAGAGAACATCTTAGAAGTTTCCGAACAATATTTGAAGTTTTCTCTACACGCAGCGTGCCGAGTTCCAAGCCTAAGGCCCAGCGTACGAGAAGGCGCGCTCCCCAAACTCAAAACTTATTTATTAAACGCCGTCTGCAGAGCGAAGACCGGCCCGTGATTCGAGGTCTGATATGGCTCGGAGTAGTTTTGCACAAGTAGAATGAACATTTGTTTACACAGAGGCCATGTGCATTAATCATCATCACGATCCATGGGCAGATAGCCCCGTAGGTGTCCACTGCACATTGCACGTGATTCGTTTTCACTTCCCTCTGTCTTGTGGCAATATGCTCAAGTAGTGGCCACAACTTTCTGGCACCGATCTCTTATGTCGTCGTCAAGTCATTCTCATTTAGGTCTTCCTCTCTCTCTCTCTCCGGTTCCTTCGATTTTTTTAAACAACACACTTGCACATTTTCCTTTTGTTGTATATCCTACATGTGTATCCAGTGCCAGTTTTCTTCTCACGTGTGCATTTATATACAGAGTTTATACACTATCCGGGAGTGCACTGGGAGCCAGTATAACTGTCGAAGAAAACCCAGCCAGTCAGCGGTGACGGACACCCTTAGCGCTGCACCCAGTGTCTTCCTGTGCACGTTTGTCATGGTTCACTCACGTGCGGCAACTGCTGTGCACGTGTAGGTGATAATAGTGTGCGTGCGCGAGCGAGTGGCGATGCTGCTACCTTCTCCAAGTTGTCTATTTTCTGCCTCAGCAGCCGATTCTCCGTGCGTAATTTCTGTGGGAACAGAAGGAGGGAGGCAGGGAGAGAGGCAGGGAGGGAGGGAGGCAGACGGACTGAGACAGCTGAGAGAAACTCGAACACTGCATGGCTGGAAGAGACCGTGTGGCTCAGAGTCAGAGCCCTGGGCCAGCAACGCTGAGATTCTAAGTTTAAACTGCATTCTCAAGCGCAGGGGAGTTGATCGTCTCAGCTCAGTCACCCCTGGACAACAAAAAAACCCGATCACATTAAATTTGGTCCGTCACTTAAATAAAGCATTGCAGGTGTGAAGCAAAAAAAAAATGATGGCTTGAATTGCCATCAAATAAACACCCTTTGCAAGACAAGAGAATTCACGAGTAGTTGTGTAATGTCAGTTGTTGCAGGCCACGCTGCTTCACAAAGCAACACCTTGTGGCTTGCACCCGAGTGAGTGAAAAGTCCCCAAGGGTACAAATGGCTGTGCATTACCTTGATTTCAACCTGTTCCTCCATCTCTTTCGTTTTCAGAGCCATGTATTCCTTTTCCAACCTCATGTGCCACACACACACACAACAAAGACAGCCTTAACAGAAGACTGCTGGGGCACGAGGCGGGTGGGTGGCCCAAACCACGCTGCACATCAGCTGGGTAAGTGACATCGCAGAATACAGCAACGAGCAGTGGAGTAAAGTAACAAAAATATATATACAGTGTAGTTTAATTCTTTGGGATGCAGGCATCGCAGGCGGACCCAGCAATTACTGCCCATCGCTTCCTTTGCGGGGAGGAGGTGCGAAATGGAACGGATGGGTAACTTGGGGAGGCAGCCCCAATGCACAGAGGCGGCAAGGGGGCAGGAGCAGCAAGGAAGGCCGAGGGCTTTTAAGAGAGGAGCCAGTCCCGGCGAGCGCGTTACGCCCGTGCGCTGGCTCTGGCGAGCACGTTCAGCGGTGCACACGCTCTTGGGAGACTCACTTCTTGAGGCGCTTCGGGTTGTACTTGACCTGCGTGGCCGCGGCGATGAGCTTGTCGGCACAGCCGTCCCATCGGTGGGGAATCACCTTTTGAAAAAGCTGCTCGTACAAAAGACAAAGATCGTCCCGCCCCTCCCTTAAAATTCAGAGGCAAGTGATTATGCACAACCCTGCCAAGTCACGCCCTTGCCCCCCCCAGTTTACAGAACATTCACTCAGCTGGCCGGGTATAGAATCACCTCCCTGACACATTGTCGGCGAAATCACCGATTCTGGTCTCCAGGCATTCAAATGCCGAGCACATGGACATCTCCTAACTTCACCGCACGCCTTGTAGAAGTGAGTCTTTGAGCTGCAGTGAACCCATTGATTATGCCGATTAGATGTATTCATGTCCAATGGCTGTTGTTCACAATTGCACGCGGTAAAAAAAATAGGGCTACCTAGCGACCACCTTGCTAAGATCGGCATGGCACGCGAAGGGATGGTTATGGCCAGTACCGCAGAAGAGGTTGCCTTCATCCCCACACGGCCGATGTTATTTGGCACGCAGCGTCAGCTACTCATTTAAGGCTGGGTTATTTTGGTGGCATCATTTTCCCGGGGTGGTGTCTGCACATGATAAGAAATGCTCTGCCACCTGTGGAGTTCTGAAATAACATTTCTAGGTCTCGGTGACAAAGATCCACCGTATAACCTTGAACAAACTATTGGGGCAAGTGCTGTTCGCGAGCACCTATCAAGGCATGCACGGCACAAGAGGGGGTGGGTGGCCAGCACCACACCCCGCCGCCTTTGTCTCCCTAGTGGCGATGTTTATGTACCACACGAGGTCGACCTAGGGGAGGCCCAGGACCGGTTCAGATAATCGTCACTGGTGTTGGCCTTTAGCGGGAATCGAACTTGGGTCGCCGCGTTCGTAGCGTAGCGCATTAACCACAACACCACCACTCCCCACCAGGTCTCGTAACACGAAGCCATCAACAAACCTAGAAGATAATGGAGATAAGTAATTAAATGAAAAATCAACATACGTACGAATTGGTCATAATTCAACCCTGCCCAATTAGCTTCCCTTGCCTCTGCTATCCTAAATATATAGGTACCCTCATTCAGAAGGCAGCTTCTGATTCATGTGGTCAGAGCACTCGACTCAACAACCGTGAGGTCGGCAAATTCAAATCTGGGCAGGGGTCAACCGAAGCAATCCTCTGCGTGCTGGTCACGACGCGTTGTGCACGCTGCTAGCTGCTCCACCTCCGTCTATGTAGCCTGGGGCACGGAGGGGAACGTGAAGCACCACACCAGAAGCACTCATTTCTGTAGCTCTGGGCCGGGGTCCTTAACTCAGACTGAATATATAGCGTATACATAGACATGGCAAATCCACTGCTGAATGATGGCTTCACCAACCTTCCCCCTCCCATCTATCATACACGCATCAATAAAGTAAAACAAATGTTAATGACACTGAGGTGTTTTGAAGCTTGTCTAACTTCAGGAACCCGTACTCTTAGGTCTGATCGTGTCCGCGAGCACAAGTCAGATCTGAAACACGGCAGAACTGATTCTTCTGCCGTTGCCGATCATTGCTACAACTCGGTGGGCTCTCACGAATTGTCTTTTCCGAGACCAAGGTTCTCTGCAAACCTCCCGGCTACCATCAAAGGTTTGTACACGAAGCCATACAAATATACAAACACAGACATAATTTCAACCGTGATGATGGGTACAAACTTAGTAATCATTGGAAAGATGTTATCAACCACGCAAAAAAGACTTAATTACACTTTTTTGGACCATCTTATCTGACAGGCACTATTTGACTTTACTTTACCGAGTGTTAACATTCCCAGTTATTTTTTTAACAGTACTCTCTTTATTGTTCAGCCAGCATTGGTATAAACATGGGCATTTTCGTTCTTTTGTCTTTCATGTGTATCAGGCCTCCCCTCCCCCTCTCTGCCCCATGTGTTGAGCACTCCGTGCTGTCTTTGAGCCCCGCCCCCCTCCCTCCCGATACGTTTCCATTCATTGGCTACCACATTCTGATGAGCCCCCCCCTCTCCTCCCCCCTTCAACTTGCTTATAAGGGATTACATCTTGAATCATTGCCTCACTTGATGCAGCTAATTCGGCTGTGACGGTCCCACCTGATGACGGAGACTTGTGTTGCCTCCGAAACGTCGTGATTTTTGTTTTATTTTATTTTATTTTCATTAATTTTGATGTTTTACCTACGTGACTTTACCGAAAAAACCTAAGAGTATGAATCCTTGCAGTCACGAAAGCTTCAAATCTAGAATTCAGGAACCCGCTTTCTGTGCTACCTGCAGCATGCCCTCCATGTCCTGTGCGAGCAGCTCATCCTGAAGAGCCGAGAGGATGGCGACACCCACCCGGAAAACCACCTCCAGGCCCTGCAACGTAACAGCACCACCAGCAACATTAGCATGGTCACTCACATCAGCATATACTCCATAACCACATAAGGAACAGCAAATATTCCATAACCACCAACAACAGCCACCATGCGCCAATAAGTGGCAGTATCTTCACCACGGTGCTTGTGCCAGGCCAGGTGCACTCTGAGGCCACATGAAGTGTTGAAGGCTCACTGACAGGAGGTCATGGGAAAGACCCAGGTGCCATGGATTTATGGAGATGACTGGCACATGCACCACCTGTGCCCCCTACTGTGCCAACTTACTGTATTTTAGTCGCCTGGTGTTCCGCTCAAATTTGTGAGGGTCACTCCTCTGCCCTCTGCTGTTGCTGGAGGTGACTGCTTCTAACTACCCAGTAACGTCTTTCACAAGCCTCCTCCATAAGGGCCGATCTTGGCACCGCTGGTATCAGTCTTTGGAAAGTCCACTCAGCTCCAAATCCTCCTGTAACGCATCAGTCCATCTCTTCTCCAGCCTGTGCCACTCCTTTTTAGCCCTCTCTATCTGGGCAAATAGAAGCTGCTTGGGCATGCAGTGGCTAGGCATGCAGTGGCTAGGCATGCAGTGGCTGGGTATGCAGGTTACATGACCCAGCCAACGCAACATTGTCTGCCGGAGGAGCTCACCGATGGGAATGTGTCCAGATCTTTCAAGGATTTGTGAGCTCTTCACAAATTCCAGACTGGTTATACCCAGGATGGATTGTATGCAGACCAGTCTTAATGCTTTAAACTGGTGCAGATGTTCTATCAGAAGACCTGGAGCTTGTGACAAAAAGATGCCACCCTGCTGATTCGGAGAGAAACCTCTGCTGCCAAACTGGAGTTGGTATAACCACACGACCCAGGTATGGAAACTTCTCCACAACTGCCGCATCACTCATGGGGGGGGGGGGGGGGGGTTGAAGGGGTGGACTATTGGATGACACAAAATACCCAGGCCGGTGCTAAATTTTGGTGGAGCTGATGGTAAGATTCCACCTCTTAGTGGCACGCTCCAGGTCTAGCAGCAGCGCCTCGCCAACTCCTCCTCTGAGTAAGCAGCAACCACTAGATCAGCGTACATAACGTGGTTGACCAATAGTGAGCCATTCCTTGACCGTATCCGGGCATCGATCAACCACCCATTGTATCTGTACCAAACATACATTACTCTGGTAAAACCATGCAAAGCTTCTCCAACTACGTGGTCGAAGAAGATGGAAGATACTGTGGGAGCCAGATGACATCCCTGTCGCATCCCAACTTGAACAGGAAATTACTGACTCCCGACCATTACCCGGGCCTGCCCACCATAATGAAGGTCCCTAATAATTGCGAGTCAGGGACCCTGAAAGCATGAAGAACAACCCAAAGTATTGAAATTACATACACCTCCACTGTAGCAGACAGATAAAGAATATGGCATGCATGCAGGACCGGTCCAGAGCTGAAACCACAAAGGGTCTCCGTAAGCCTTTCCTCAGCATACCTGGCAAGGCAATGTTGAATAATCCTTGCCAGGACCTTTCCCAGCACACTGAAGAAGGAGATGCCCCTGTAGTTGTTACAATGAGTACCGTACATTCGCCCTTCTTAAAGAGGAGGACCACCATGGCATCCGTCCAATGCTACGGAGCCGATCCTGTGGTCCAGACAGTTGTGAAGTCATCTAGGACAGTCTGCACACAGACCCTCCCTCAGCAGTGCACTTGGGAGACCATCTCTGCCCAGCGCTTTTTCAGGTCTCAGACTCCAGATCGCCCTCGTACCTCCTCAATAGATGGCACCTCATCCAGCCACTCACAGGGGGTGACTACTTCTGTCAATAATTGAGGCACCGCAGCCCAAGCAGGGTCGTCCCCACCTTGCCTCATGACGTTATTTGGGCGGAGGGAATTTCCCTCACCCAAGACCTCACAAATGCTCCGTAAACCTATACACCTGTTCCTATGAGTCAGAGATTGGATGACTATTCTTTCCCTTAAGGATGGTGATAGGTGTGGCGCTGTAGATTACTTTTTGATGCAGTGATAGTGATTTGTAGTCGCGGGCTACTGAGGCAGATTCCATCTCCTCAGCAACCCACGACCACCACTCATCCTTGTAGCACTACACAGCTCTCAGAATCTCTGAGTGAAGGCTGCGGTAAGCCTCCTAATTTTCAAACATGGGATGTTGCAGATGACGGGAGTGGGCCTGTCAATTTCTCTCAGCTAGCCAGAAGATGTCCTCCTTCAGTCAGGGTCTCTGGGGAGGTCTGGACTGCAAACCCAATCCGGCCATTACAGCTTCATTAGCCCAAGTCTTCAATCTTTTTTTTTATTGGGTGCAATTGTGAACAATAGCCAAATCAGACATGAGTACATCTCATCGGCATAATCATTGGTTCACTGCAGCTCACCCATTTCCCCTCGGCATCAGGAGGAGGGTGAGATGATGCCAACTCCAGCTGCAAGCGATGATGAAATTCTCACTTGCAACTTTCGTTAGTTAGCTGAAACCAGGTCATGGTGGGTGTTAATGGAATCCTAGGTGGAGCCCACCACCGCACTGGAAGAATAGCAGGCGCATCTTGCATGTGACAAGCTGATGGTCAATGGCCAGATAAAACTCCACAGTGGGTCCTGGTGTCAAAGACATGGGACCGCATTCGCTATTCAGTCACTATATAAATCAGATGTTCTTGCTTGGACCCGGCGAGCATCCTTGAAGTTGTGTGGATGTGTCGATGTTGGAGCAGTGTATTGGTGATTACAAGCACATGGGCTGCACAGAAATCTAGCATCCTCCTAATATTGTTATTGAGCTGCTCTGGCCAAGACATTCCAATCACTCCAGCCTAGGTGCCTGCACCATGACCCGCTCAGGCATTACAGTCACCCAACAAGATGACTCTCGCAAGGGGCCTCATTAGCTAACACCTGTGACAGGAGGTCATAGAAAACATCTGAATCACCAGCCTTGCCTGCATTCCTCTACCGATGTTCATCTTCAATGGAGGCATAACCAACCACCACCATTCCTCGCCTCCCATTGATGGGGAGATAAGCCCATAGTAGCATACAACTCGCAGCTTTTCACAGCTATACCGCCATGCTCCAAGTCCCCTTCATTCACCACCACTCATACCCGCACACACTCAATAACAACACCACCACCACCACAAAGATCACCATGACTCACACCAGCCAGCACTTCATAACTACTGCTACTACTATCATCTGCATCACTATCAGCACCATAACAACACCAATCAATACAATCACCACTAACACAATCTTTACGACCACCATCAACAGGCTGTGTGCGTGTGTCTGCGTGAGCAAGTGCATGAGCATTTCGGTGCATTGGCATGCGATGGTGCATGTATGCACGAGTGCACATTTGTGCATGTCCATGTACGTCTGTGAATGTGTCCATTTACTCGTACGTATGTGACTGTGTGTGTGTGTGTTGGTCAGTGTAAGTTCAAATGCGTGTGTGTGTGTCGCGTTAGCGCAGTGATTAGTGCGCTGTGCTATAAACCCGATATCCTGTTTTCAATTCACACTCACGACCAACATCGGTGAAAATATCGGAACATATCCTGGGCATACCCTAGGTGTGGTGTGTAAATATCAGCACTTGGGGAAAAAAAAAGTTGGCTGGGCATTGTGCCTGACCACCCACCCCTTCGTGTGCTGTACCGGCCTTCATGAGGTGCTCACTAACAGAACTTGCCCCAACAGTCGAAGGTTAGAGGGGGAAACTTTGTCTTTGCGAGTGAGTGCGATTGCTGTGTGCGAGCCCCACCTCGCACATGAACCAGTCGAAGATGCGAGCGGCGAGCGGCAGCGGGAAGGTGGTCAGGAACACGGTGAGGAACCAGGGAGACGCGAACATGGAGGTGTGCACACTGTGCGCGCTCAGGTGTGCGTGCAGCTGAGACAGCTGATCCTGCAAGCCCATATGCGCACGCACAGGTACACGCCAGCAAGCGGTCATTACACGATTTAGCTCTGAAAGGCTCTTTTGGAACCAACGCAAAACAAAGTCAAGCACAAGCCACACGTCACACGTCATCCCGATCCAAATGAGCATGGGGCAATGCTCGCCGACATGAGTGGATACAAGCTAGCAACGGGAATTCGGTATTCCTACAACAGGGGCCAGTTTATCCAAAGGAAAACTACTACTGACTTCCCACAAAGTGCAGTATGTTTTTCTGAGAGAGGAGAATGATTGGCTGGACCGACCTCTGCCAGGATTACACAATTAGTCCCCACCGTTGAGACCGTCCACCTGTGAATGTAACAATAACAACATGTCCAACTTGTAACGTGCCGAAGCACAGTAGTCGTTCGCTCTCGAAGACGGAGAGCGATTCGGAGGCGTGAAACACCACAGACGAGCGGGAAGGTAGCAACCACACAGGTAAGCCTGCACCCCCTAGCTCTGCGGTCCTCTATATATGAAGGTGTTCTCGGTCAATTGATGAGTGTTTAGGCGTTCTAGTCCATGCTCAAGACTTTCATCACCTCTGCCTCTACAAGGCCGCAACGTCTTCGCTCACACCTCACCTCTCCATCGTCATCTCCGTTCCCTCTCTGCCCCGCAGCTTCCCACCACCTCTCTCCTTCCCCTCCGATGCGAATTTTTTTTTTCCTTTCCGGATTAATGTTTAGCTTTAAATAACAATAATAAATCAAATGCATATCGCGCCTTTCGTCAAAGCGCCCTTCCACGGCGACGTACAATGCCTCTTCCACAACACCACCATCGCACTGAACTTGACATAAATTGTGCATTCGACCTCAGAGCAGGTTTTAAGTTCTTACCTAAAACTAAGCAAAGAAGAGGTTCTTTCTAGATTTGAAGCTTTCGTAACTGCAAGGATTCATACTCGGTAAAGTCACGTAGGTAAAAAATAATACAAATAAAATAATAATAAATGAAAATAAATCAATTAAATCACGACGTTTCGAAGGCAACACAAGTCTCGTCTTCAGGTGGGACGTCACAGCTAAAATTACTGTATCAAGTGATTAATTTTATTTTCATTTATTATTTTACTTTTATAATTTTTTACCTACGTCACTTCACCGAAAAAACCTAAGAGTAAAGACTTTCTTTGTTTAACAATCATATGCGGTCCATGCACAGAGCAGTTCATAACCCTCCGTGCAAACCCCTAGCCATATATATTTTTGATATACAAGCATTTGTTTTCGTCATTAACAAACCCGGAATACAGTGGGAGTTGCAAAAACAAGAGATGACGTATTACTAGCTCAACGTAACGCACCCTCAACACGAGAGAGCGATCGAGAGCGTCCAAGCTCACCAGTCTAGCGAGAGAGGGGTAACGAGCGGGAGCGGTGCATTCCGACGTGAATCTTTAAGAACCCTCCTCTTCTTCAAGCCCCATTGATATGTCCACGTCCTGTATTTGTACATTGCCTTGAGATGCAGTCACATTTAATACCCTTCACTAGTACAAACGGTATCCTACTGTACCATATCGACAGGCCAGGCACAGTCTCTCTCCCCCTTAATCCCTTGCTGTCCATGTTATGGTTACAAATTGTGAATTAATTGACGTGGTTTAAAGTCATTGGATGGAACGAATTTAATAGAGTTATACAGCTGTATCAAGAAAAAATGAGTTTTTTTTCTGATCCTAATGGGTTTAATGATATGTGTCCGGTTTCAGCGAGTGTAATGAGCTTGAATTCACTTTGGATGGATTATCGAAAATTATTCTCCAATGACCTTTCTGCGCTTCTAATTGATCCGTCCAGTTTGGGTATAAAAATACATGCCGGGTTATTTATTATTTATACACGGGCAAAGGGGCTCACTGCGACACTAAAGTGTGTGTTGCAGGGGAGACCAGCCAAAACACATCGTGTCAGTAACGTACGATGTTCAACATTAACACAAAAAAGTTAACTACCGAGCGTACAAATGAACAATAATTATCTACACTGCTGGATGACGGCCTCCCAAGACCATGTTGATGACGGGGGCTGTTTGACCATACTTCACCACCTTGATCAGTGAGGATTGGTGAAGGCAGGGACCCAGCATCGGTTCAGGTACCAGTGGCCACCGATGTTAGCTGTGGCCAGGAATAAAACTCACAAGTCGCCGAGTTTTGTAACAAAACGTCGTACGAATTATGATTACACACAGCACCAAGCTGATACATCACCGAAACTAATTTACATAACGCAGTTAAACACGAAAGCACATTAACCATGTGCAAGCAGGCAATACAGTTAGACGACTGGCAGGTCTTGTATGGTGAGGTAAAGTGTGGGTACTCCCACCTCTTCCCAGATATCTGGCCAACGTGGAAGAGAAGGCCAAAGAATACCTTCTAGAGGGGCTCTCTAGAGCTCCCTCTAGTGGCGGTCCTTCCGCTAGCAGTGGCGTGATCGAGCACTTGCAGGGCTGCACCTAAATGGGAGCAATGCGCCAGTTGTTGGCGGTGCAACGGAGCCTCCCGGGGTCCCCTCGCGCGCCCGGGGGCTCCTCGTGTGCTCGAGGCCCTCACCTGCATGAGGCTCTCGATCTGGTACATGCACAGCCCCAGCTCGGCCATGCTGGGCTTGAAGAGCTCACGCAGGCGGTAGTCGTGCATGAGGCGGATGAACACGCAGAAAGCCTCCTCCTCCGGCATCTATGGGGGCGACAAGTGTGGGATGCGGGGGACGCGGGGGAACGTGGACAGGGAGACAGAGGGAAGCAGGGACAGGGGGGCAGGGGGACACCAGTTCACACAGACATCAGGCAAGCACAATTTATTTACAAAGGGCACTGTATATGTAGATAAATAAAACAAACTTTCATTAATCGCTCTGCAAAATATATTTTATTTATATAATTACCCATGTCTCACAGCGACGCACGAGCTTTTATACTTGTTGTGTTACGCAGCCAATGTAGTCCAGAATGCCGCTGACCAGACCTCAGGCCCTCACCCACAGACGGCTCCCAATCCAATCCCACATCATCAATTACGATCACCCTTCGTGAATACATCTCCCGGGATCATGGGCACTTATGACAATGTGGGAGAAAACACCAGCCTTTCTGCTGGGCGGCGAGGGGACACATTGCCAGGTAGCTCAACGCTCACACCCCCCACGTCATCCTCCTCACCACCAGGGCTCGTCAATTGTTAAGGTAAATCGTCATCAGTGTGTGCACCTGCAGATTGGCAACAGGCCACGTGCTGGGTCCTTGAGTTGTATTGGAAGTTGAGCTGTACGTGTAACCAATTATCTGGTGATGATGCCAGTGGTGCACAAGCGCAAATAGCACTGGGCCTTTGAGCATTATGCAGCAAAAAAACTATCAGTGGTTCCTGAAAAACTGAAAACATGATCCTCTTGTCTGAAGATCTGAGCAAATGTGACCAACTGACAGCAGCAGCAGAAGTGACGATGCAGTGAAAGACAACTGTGGTTCTTAGCCTTGAATGCAGATGTGCACCCCTTTGGTTCTCAATAGTAAAACAATTTATCTTAATAAATACATAGGTTTCATGAAACAAAGCAGTTGTACTTACGTGCCCTTGCTTAATTTGGGTTTCGATGATTTACCTTCTCCGAAAATCTCGGCCAACTCTCACACCCCCAGGGGGTGCATGCACCCCACGTTAAGAACCGCTGCTGTAGACCGATGGACGACTGCAGACGGTGGGGACTACTTCAGATTGACAACTGCACTCTCCTTGCTGTTGAATTTCTTGCTTGTTAAGCATGAGGCAGGCGGTGTTGACCCCAAATCGTTGTCACGGGGGAGCAGGGATTTTCAACACGCACGTCACCGTGCACCGGACTCGTCAATGACGACGGATTATATCGCTCACGATAAATGCATCTAATTGCGCGAGATGACAATTGATTGTATGTAATGTATGCAGATGATACGCATCGCCAGGTCCATCCACAAGTTCCCATACCGAATCGCGTCGGCTGTGCCGTGCGTTGCAAGTGGTGCGCGCGCCGGTACATATGTACATGTCGGCATTTCACCTGCATCAAGAGAAGTCCGACGATGAAGGCGCTGCCCTGGCAATATCCGACCTCGCGGTCCACCAGCGAATACGCCTACACGGCACGCACGCACAGCAACACTCATTTGCCTGCGACGAGGAGTGGAGGCCGTCAACAATGGCGTCGTGCGTTTCATGCGCGCCGAGGCAGCATACAAGGGGCAAAGGGGAACGTGCGGCCAGATACGGCGTTACACACATGTAAAGCGACAACAGCGGCAGCCACCAATTCGCCACTAAGCAGTAGTGATGTCATCGCATTGCTTGTGCCAGGCTGGGTGCACTTTGAGGCCGTGATGCCAAGTGATGAAGGCTCGCTGCTGGCAGGAGGTCACGGGACACACCCAGGTGCCATGGGTTAACCGATTGAGATTACTAGAAGATGCACCAGCTGCGCTCCGCACTGTGCCAACTTGGCACAGTACATAGACACACACATACCCTCTACTCATAATCAACTGACAGACCATTGAAACAAGTCGATTTTGCAGCAAGACTCCGGAATTACAGCAAAAAATGTATCGCAAACGTTGGTCCGGTGAGAATTTAATCACACGATGTCCTTTATTTGATTTAGAGGTCACTAAGCTCTATTAGTTGAACGTCTAAAAATCTGGTCAGAGACATAATAATTCATTATTTTAAGTTGCTCTCAACTTAATATGCACGCTGCTCTGCTCGTTAGCATCGCTCTTCCACCTCAAGTTGTTATGGGAAGGCTGCCAACGCTACCTACCCAGCAAGCCCTCCCCTACCTCCCTCTCCTTCCTTCCTCCCTCCCCATCCAGAGGCTGCCCTGGCACTGCCAGCTACTTCTTGCGGCGATCGTGAACTGCCCCACATCATCCTGTTGCACTGTGCCCATCGTAGTACGGGTGCCTCGTTGAGAATTTCTATTCATTGCTGTTGCTCACATATTTGCTCTCGGGAAGCTGTGAACATTAGGATCTGTGTGCATGATGGTTAGCATGTAGGAGGCAATAGCGCCATATTATTGGTTCATTCATTCTTGAAAGAGAATTCGATGTTCATTTTATACATATAAATCTACGTACAAAAAATTCCCAGCTTTATCCGAATTGGGAAAACGGTTTTATATCATGCAGCAGAGCAGTCTGCTGAAGGTGATGTCGCAGAACTGCTAACAACAAATTTGCCAGGCAACATCTCATCCACACAAGGAGGGGCGGCACTCTCCCAGCCACCCTGATCTAAAAATAAATGTCCATCAATAGTTTTAGCTAAAGTGAACACATTTTTATATAGGTTTTTTGTGCAGTTGATGGTAACCAGGCTGCACTTGACAACCTAGTTTAATCACAGGTAGGCTGCCTGGATTAAAATCCAGGTTTCTCAGCGGTGTCAGCTGTGCACACTGAACTCCGAGCCACTTGGCCTCCTCCAAGGTTTTGATTTTAATGAGGATTTATTTGCACTTTTGATCATTTCCCTTTTTAAAACGTTTTCATTATTGTGTTGTGGTCGGACATTCCATCACGGCCTGCATGTCACAGCAGCGTAAATGCGGGGGGGGTCTCAGTGGTGCTGGCTCAGTCCGACCACGCAATCATCCCACGAGTTACCCGGCCACACTCACACCTCGCGTGTGTGAGTGTATGCGATCCCTCGTGTAGTGGTCAGTGCGCTGTGCTACGAAACCTGCAACCCGAGTTCGATTCCCGCTCAGGGCCAACACCAGTGACGATTACCTAAACCGGTCCTGGGCCTCACCTAGGTTGACTCAGCCTCAAATGAGTACCTGGTGCTGTGTGTAAACATCGCCACTGGGGTGACAAAGGCGGCTGGGCGTGGTGCTGGCCATCCACCTCCTCTTGTGCCGTGCTGACCTTCATAGGTGCTCGCTAACAGCACTTGCCCCAACAGTATGCTCAGGCTATACGGGGATCTTTATCTCTGTTTGCGATCCCTAGTGTAGCAGTTAGCGCTCTGCGCTATGAACCCGGTAGCCCGAAATTGATTCCCGCTCACGCCTAACACCAGTGACGATTATTTGAACCGGTCCTGGGCCTCCGCTAGGTCGACTCGGCCTCAAATGAGTACCCGGTGCGGTGTGTAAATATCGTTGCTGGGGTGACAAAGGCGGCTGGGCGTGGTGCTGGCCACTCACCCCCTCGTTCGCCATGCCGGCCTTCATAGGTTCCATTCGCTAACAGCACTTTCCCCAACAGTCTGTTAAGGCTACACGGGGTTTCTTTGCTCCCTCCCTCCTGTGCCCACCCCCCACTCCCGCGGGCACCTTCATGACGTTGAAGAGCCCCTCCTGGCCGGGGCCGTCCGGCTGTCGGAACAGCACGTGCTCTGGGTAGGTCCGTGCCAAGTCTCGCCGGATCAGCTTTTCCGACGGAGATGCCATCTTCAGGAGCTCACTGTACTGATCTGTCGAACACACGTGACATGAAAAATACACATTCTGCACGTACTGCATACTAGGCACGGGTCATGGACTTGCTAGCGTGCCTCTGTGCTAATAATCGTGACGTTACCCGTTGCCACGTGTCGTCACTCTTGGTAGAGGTGACGTCATCTCCAGTGAAGTCATGTTCTTGGATCAATCCGTAACAAAACAAACATGTGGATAGGCCAATTAGATGAATATATCAGGAGCCAATTTTTCAGACTAATCCCAAAATCAGAAGAACACATCTCCGAACGTTGAACACACACCTACAGGTTTGGCTGTGAACGAGCATTCTCAAGTTTATGAATAATTCTTGTGTCAATATCAGTGTCTCCGTGCTTGATTAGAGCAATCGCCTGGCACTCCACCCCCCAGTGGTGGCCCTGAGCGAATGGTGGGAACTCCCAGAACGGAAGTCTCGCGATCTAAAATGCAATGCTACCTGCCAAGACAAGGCTTTTGTAGTGTGGAGTATGGAACTAAGGAAACTACAATACCAACTTCCTGTGCCAGGCCAGGTGCACTGAGGGCACGTGAAGTGCCGAAGGCTCACTAACACGAGGTCACGGGACAGACCCAGGTGCTATGGGTTGACCGACTGAGGTGACTGGCAGATGCACCAGCTGTGCCCCCTACTGTGCCGATTTGCTCCATTTTAGTCGCTGGGCGCTCTGCTCGTTATTGTGAGCGTCGCTCCTCTGCCCTCCGTTGTCGTTGGAGGGCGACTGCTTCCAGCTGCCCAGTAGCAGCATCCTTCACGAGCCTCCTCCATAGAGGCCGATCTTGACACCGCTGGTACCAGTCTTCGGCAAGCCAACTCAGCTCCACATCCTCCCGTACCGCATCAGTCCATCTCTTCTCCAGCCCGTGCCGTGCCCGTTTAGCCCCCTCTCTCCAGCCAAACAGAAGCTGCTTGGGCATGCGGTGGTTGGGTATGCGGGCTACATGACCCAGCCAATGCATTATTAATTACAAGGTCTTTGTCAATCCACTCTTATGATACAATGTTGGGCTAAATGGAGTCATTATCATGTCCAACGGCGTCTGCTTCTTGAAGTAAGTAAAATCAAGAAATGAGGTGTTTGGTTTCATTGACAAACTAGATTAACACTTGATCAATCCATTGACCAAGACCCTCCCGGATAAAGACATCTCAAGTCACAACGGTTTCTACTCCGTGACATGCACAGGCCATGACCCTGCTCATGACACTTGGGGAAATTGAATCCGGCCCAGGGTTTCGCTTGGTCCAGGTGGCCACTGCAATCAGTTTATTCCGGGGATCTGAAAATAAGCACAAGCTGTTTATTTACCGTTATAACCCACGACCTGCTGACACAGCTCAGAATTATTTAAACGCTCTGTTTTTAAACATTTGCGAAAAAAACTTATTTCTGGGGATTTTTTTTTACCCTTTCACATTCGAGTTTTTCCCGATTCCGTTCCGATGACGTACGTGTAGGTACCTGTACGAATCGGAAGAAAAACTAAAATAACTATTGGTACCGAGGCTCCCTAACAAGGCCATGCGGGAGGGCGTGTGGCACAGTTGGGCACCACCTATCATAAGAGTGCAATCGTGTCACTACAGTTCTCAGTGGTGAGTACAATGTCTTTAAATAAAATTAATGCTAACTGATTAAGTGTTCAGAGGTTCAGCGGTGAAAGGGACCCACCATGCGACTTGTCGACATCTAAGAACGGGAAAGGGATAATTTGTAATTTAATCTAAATCCCTAAGCACAATCAGCCGTTCCTGCAATATAAACGTCGCAGCATCTCCAAGGTCCACTTTACACTGCATAATTTACGAGTGGCCTATTGTAAAATAACCGTCAACTCCCTTGCAGACTGGCACAGTGGTGATCGTGCTGATGACTGGTGTCGCTCAGCTGCCGAGAGACATCTTCCGAGGTTGGGAAATGGTGCCGATGAACAGGGAGGAGGGGTCATCGGGGGAGAGGATTTACCCTTTTCAGCGACATTTTGAGCATCGCACAGGAGCTGCCAGACGATTCCTCTGAAATGGTGCGGAATTCCTTCCCGGACAAGATCCTACATGAATCACACACATACATGGATATACACACACACACACTTCAAATTTACCCAGAGACACGGATACGCAAAAACGAAACAAACACATACAAACACAGTTCAAATATGAACTAAATTTGTTTAATTTTACCAGGTAAGGCCCACTAAGCTATATAGGTCTTTTTCAGAAGTGACCTGGCTATCACAAATGATGGCTCAACGAAGCGGCTGACCATGTGGAAATTTACAGCAGCCAAATACTCTTAACGCACGTTTATAAATATGAAGGGAAAAACCGGAGGACCCGGAAAAAAAACCACGCGACCACAGGGAGAGAGACAAATATACAGCAGCAGGCGTCAGGATCGAACCCACGACCTCCTGCATACCATGCGAGGGAGTTAACATCTCACCACCATGGCGCCCACACTGGCAAATATACATATGACAATCACGTACACGCACAAAATGATACGCTCATGAGGACACAAACGCACGTGTATACGTGCACGCAAACACACTATTTCTACAAGAACACGGGGGGGTGGAGGGAGGGGAGGGAGGGGCACCTTGACGCGCTGATCCTTGTGGCAGCGCGACTCCTGCCACTCGGACACGAGGCCGCCCCACACGGCCCACAGCTCTTCCTCGCCGGGCCGCGCCGCCTCGCCGGGCCCCCCCGCCGGCGGCGGGCCACTCGATACCGCCTGCAGCAGCCTGCCCACACCGGCGCACCACGAATTATCACAGCACACAGCAAACCACCACGGTACACACGCGCCACACCGTAGACACGTGGCACACCGCGGAACACTATGGAATACCGCAGAACACCATGGTGCACCACAGGCAAACGCAGATTTGTATCAACCCCCAGTCAAGCCATGGGGGTTCTTTGTTGTTGCGATAACTTTCTGTTGTTTGTGCTTTTTGTGTTGGTGCCACGACCAACTGGCCAAGCGACGCGTGTGCCCGGTGAATGAACGCGGGTGGACGGACACGTGCCGCCGCCGTGCACCCCCCACCCCCCCTACTTGTTCTGTTCCTCCAGCTTTGAGAGGAGCTCCTCGTCCTCGGCGGAGAGCGCCCCCCCCCTCGCCGCCGCTGCCGCTGCGCCGTTACGCTCGCTCCCGTGCGGTCGGGGCCCGGCATGCGGCGCCGAGGGGACCGAGGGGGTCGCCCCGGTCGCCGTCACCGTCTGCGTCACCGTCTGCCTCACCCATGAGAGTGTGGCAGACAGCTTGTCCGTCACCTTGTCTGCCGCCACCTGGACACACACAGACAGAGACAAAGATCCCCCCCCCCGTGTAGCCTTAACAGACTGGTAGGGGCAAGTGCTGTTAGCGAGCACCTGTGAAGGCCGGCACGGCACACGAGGTGGTGGGTGGCCGGCATCACACCTGGCCGCCATTGTCTCCCAAGTGGCAATGTTTACTACATCGCACCAGGTACCAATTTGAGTCCAAGTCGATCTAGGGGAGGGCCAGGACAGATTCAGATAATCGTCACTGGTGTTGGCCGTGAGCAAAATTGAACTTGAGTCGCCGGGTTCGTAGCACAGTGCACTAATCGCTACACTGTCACTCCCCACCTGGGCAGGCGCGCAGAGAGGATGGTCAGCTCGTTTAATAATTACATTCGTAAACAAATGTTTCTCTCACTTATATCCCTAACAAGACGGTGCCACCGACAACACAACCGCTCATGAAGCTTCCAGCACGAGTGAGATCAAGTCAAGTCAGGCTGTGCCCTCCACCACCCAGCCACAGTCTACATCGGGTGCAATGCCCCACTTTGTCCACACAGGGGGGGGTCCACTCCACTCATTGCGATGGGCATGGCCAAGCGATTCATGCATGTTTTTTTAACTAGATCAAAAGCCATAGGTCAAAGATAATGGTTGTCTGGCTTGAATGTGAAATTGAAGTTGTTTCTCTGCATCTACATCAGCCATGAAAAAGAAGATTCATATTATACACGCCTGGATCGTTCCTTTAAAAACAAGCCACCAGTCAACATTGTACGATGGAAATCACTCAAGAGCTATAACCGCCTGTCGTATAAATGACGTTTTTTGTTACACGTCTCGCGCTATGTTATAGATGAAATGAGACTCGCAGGGGAGCAGTATAACATCACACGTTTCGAGAAGAGCCTGCAGAAGTTGACATCAGAGAACTGCTTCTAAAGGTCACCTAAACAGTTTTCTTATTTGCACTTAGCAGCACACGTGGCATTGTTTATTTTATTATCATTGTGCTCATTTATCCAGGAAAAACCTCACAAAATCTCAAGACTAATTTTCAGAAGTGTACAAAGTTTTTCGCTGCGGGAGGTGATGTTGCCATGTGTGATTCCAATTGAGTAATTTTCAGGATTTTTTTAAGTGATTGAGATATTTGGCCAATAGCAATTGTGTTGAATGTTTTTGTTTAGCTATGGGAGAAAACCAGAGAATTCGGGTTTTCAGGACATACAAACTCTTCGTTGGAAGGCGCCCGAGACGGGAATCGAATGCAGGCCCCCTTCTTGCTGCGAGGCATGAGCGAGCGTTACCCCTGCGTTAAAACTGCGCCACCCTGCCGCTCCATCATGTGACCTCTCGTGTGCTCCGCAAAAAGAGTCGGAATCAGAATCATTATCGATGCTGGAGGAATACGATGAGCTATAAAGCAACCCAACCGAGACCACAAACACACTTCACTGGAGAAACCAGTCTAGTCACGGACGACTGCCAGGAATCAAAACGCAGATTTCCGTCTGGGCTGCCGCGACGCTCCAAGCACATCGGGAGCACCTCGTGCCAGTTCCCATTTGCACAGGAGGCCACGCGGCCGGTGGGGAAGGCTGCTCTCGACACCAAACTCCCAAGCACCCACGTGGCAGTGGGGAAAGCGTGGCCAGGGCTGCTCCCACAATGCATCGGCAGACATGAGCCAAAGGTGGAAAAACACCAAATTACATGGCAGGAGACCCGCTTCCATGGATGACTTCGCACAAAGCGGTACTAACTTTATTGATTGCGAATTGAACACCTATGACCACATTGCAACCAGACCCATAGATATTACACGAGCGATATTGCACATTTTATTTATTAATTATTTCTGAAATTATGGGTAGTCTCTGACAATTACAATATTTTAAATCATCAAAGGTGTTCCCCCGCAGATCAGACGATGGAAGTACGGTGTTTATCTTTATCAGTCAGAGTGCTGCCTGGAGTGAGCCACGCACCACATCACTCAGCGAGGGGCATCGCACACAGCACCACATCCCCACGGGGAAGCGTTATCAAAATAAACGCTGGTCTATTCCAATCCCAGCGTTGTGCAAAGCGCCCTATTATCTATTACAAAGCCACTGGAGCTTATTAAGACGTCACCGTAGCTATGCATTTTCAAGTCTAAATTGAAAACCAATTTCTTAAAAACTGCTGTCCTTCCTCCACACCTCCGATTTGTATGGCTGGCTACGTATGGTGTGAAAGAAGTTCAACATACATACATTATTATTACCACCGTTTACCCAGGAAGGCAACATGGCGTCTCATTACTCTTTTTCAGGACGGTTCCAATTGCTGTTGGGGCCCGATTAATGCTACCATCCCGATTGATTAATTTGTGGTGGCTTTTTTCCAAATTTGGACCACAACGCCGGCAAAAAATGGTCTACACCCCCTGCCAAAGACGCCACGGGGATCTTGAAGCATCCGCTGTGAAGTGGACGGCACGCATTTCTGCACACACTATGACGCTCGGAATGATGACCGAGCAGGGCGGCTGCTGGATTCGAACCGTGAAAACCCCGACCCGCGGTGAAGTGCGTGGCCCGCTGGGCCCCGCGTCACCTCCTACAAACCACACCGCATCTCGAGGCCAGCAAGTCGATGCACCGCGAGAGAAAATACGCAGAACTCCTCCATTTCAACGACATCTAAATTGGAGGTCTTGAAACTCACAGGCTTTTTTCTGGTTTAAGTAAATAATGAATACATTTGATAGATACGTGGGGGAAGATATGGGGAGCAGAGAAGGACCTCCTGTAAGTGGGAGGCATTGCCCAAATCGCTGGAAAATGTTGACTTTAGTTTCATCGTTTGTTGCAGCATGAGCAATACTTTCAATTAATCGATTAAAATCGATTATGAGAGTTGTCATCTTAACAGCTAAATAACGCGTTTGAATGACCTTCCATAGCCGAGACACAACAATTTCTTGGGGACGTTGCTTTTTATCCTGTGCTCAATTTATTAATGGAAGTTTCTTAAGTGTGTGTGTGCCAACTTTGCACTCATGTGACCCTATCAATACCTTGCTCTGCCCATGACAGCCAGAGAAAGGAGTACAGTGTGCATCGCATGTAGCAAGTGTGAGCAAGTCTTCTTGGAGCACTCCCCTCACATCACGAGTGGCAGTCCTGGTCGAGGTTGACTAAGCCTGTCCCGCTCATTCCTCCAGTTGATCAAAAAAAATTTATACCACTTTGTGGAAACGTTTCACTCCCATCAACGGTGGATGCACTTTGGAGTGATTGGCCCCCGCGTGATGAAACGGGAACGTGAAATTGTATACCACTCGAGAAGGGCCGTAAACCGAGATGAGCACAGCCCTGTGCTCGCATGGGCTGACCTCCTGAAGTTGGTTTAGACGCGTTTCACAATTGTGAACGAGCATGCACTTGCCCATTTTTTTCACATCACATTTACAGCAGGCTGTACACTGCCGAGTTAAAAGGGCCTCCACAGGGACGACCTGGGAAAGTGGTAGATGAGTGACAGTCAAACGGCACCGATTTCCTTCTCAAATGAGCAGTGGGAGCAGTGCTCAGTTCATGTTTACGGCTCACGAGCCAGGAGGCATACCATTCCACGTTCCTCTGGCGGGGCCAGTTGTTTCATGGCGAGAACACGAGCTGTTCGACCACTCAACCCCCTCTGACAAAGGCAAGCAGTCAGTCACTCTCACAACCTGTAATGACTTTACAAGCTTATAGCCACTCAACGAAGCGGCAGCAGTGTCCCCTCCCCGGTAGCATCAGAGCCAGCCAGCGGTTTGCTTATCATTGGAAAGTTTACTCAGCAAGCCACTCTTATCTACCGCAAACTCCCCGTCACCTAACCTGTGACCCACACCCCCGTGTTATTGTGGACCACAATCAATGCAATGTCCTTCATGCACACTGGATGTTGCTGCGGGGGTTGGTGCTGTGCGCCACCGAATTAAACCTCATTCTAAATGTACATTGCAGGTGAAACATCTATTTACGTTCATCAGCTCAAGCCTCCCATAAATCACGTGACTTCTGTGTGACCCAACTCCCCCCACTCTGAATCCCTGTCCCGTCCCAGCCGCCCCCCGGGAAAACAGACGCTGTTCTGTACAACAGCGTTGAGGCCCTGATGTAGCCTCTTCTACATCACCATTTGCTCCCATTTTTCCATATCTTTCCCAACCATTTCCTCTCCCCCCATTCTCTCTCCTCTTTCCCGTTCATATTTCTCACTCTATGCATTACATCCTTGACTCTAGTCCCCTTCCCGTGGTGTTGCCCAGGTAAAAAGTTGGCAGTTAAATTCGGCTGCTGTAGCTGGGGCAGCCTTGAGGTCGGTAAGCTCACAAGTGGCATCGTTGGCTCCGTTTCTCAGTCCGTAATTTACGCAGAGAATTAACCCAAGCACGCCATCCCTATCATGTACAGCAGGGGTCCCGAACCCTCGGGCCGCGGACTGCTACCGGCCCGTGGCCTGTTAGGAACCGGGCCGCACAGCAGCAAGAGGTGAGAGCGGTGAGTCCGCGCGTGGCCCGCCCCCATTGTTTTATTATTCACCACTTCCATCCGCACCTCTTTCCCGCACTGCGCACTCGTCTCAGTCGCAGTTTTGGTAAACCCAGAAGCTGCTAACCCCGAGCCACAATGAGTAAAAAACAAACGTCACTGGAGAGCTTCTTTGAAAAGGAGGAAAGACCCAATGATGACCCCCCCCCCCCACCGGTCTGTGAAAAAATTGTCTTCCACGAAACCAGTCCCTGGTGCCAAAAAGGTTGGGGACCGCTGATGTACAGTAAATGAATTTGTAAGATGCGTATACCGTGACTGTGTGCAAGACATTCTTTCAATTAATGATATCATGTTAAGATAGTTTAGATATAATAATAATTCAAAACTTAAGTATATATTTCTGGTAATATTTAACGTCGGTAAGACATAGAATGGCTGTACAAAAGCTCGAGGGGAATAGCGTCAGTTTAACACGCGGGCTTTCGT